CCGTCCTAGTAAAGGACGTGTTTTCTTGTAGTGATAGAGATTTAATTTTATATATTTACTAGAGAAAAACATTATTACTAATATATCTAATCACATTTCAACCAACAGAAAAATAGATTAGAATAAAAAATTAATAAATTTGTATTGAAATCATAAAACGACATCTATTTTAGAACGAAAATTTTGCTTTAGAACGACAACTAGATCGAAATGGAGGGAGTAGTAGTAATTAACTAGAAACATCATTATCAAACAAAACTAGAAACAAATTTGACATTTTAAAACTCCCTTGGAGTGGTTAAACTGACTTTAATATTTAAAAACATATTTGAACATTTTTTTCCAAAGCAAACATTTACAAAATAAGAGCCCGAAAATAAAGGGAGAAAAAAAAAAGACCCAAAGTAGTCCTTGATGAAAAGTCAAATCTATGACGTACTCTTCTCAAGGACGAAAATAACGGTTCTTTCTAATTATAGAATCTAAAACCCGCCGGTTCTTGAGGAAACTGATGATCATAATTACAAGAAGAGCGTTTCTCTTGTTGCGGTTGGACCATCCTCACGCCGCTAACGCTACTCCTAGCCGCCATAATCTCATCAAGCGACAACCTCTTCCTATCAGGACGCTGTCTCGGCGCACTATGCGAACGCACTTTAGCCTTAAACGACTGCGTATTAGCCATATAGCTAGGCGTCATCAAACCAAGATAACTAGGCCTAAAATAAGCGTCTTTGCAAACGCTTTTCACCGGCGAAGGCGGTGCGTAGTAATGATGATTATTCATTGCCGCCAATGAAGAGAATCTTGGTGTGTTTTGAGCCGTGGGAAATTTACATTTCTCTCCACGAAAACTCCATTCGAAATCTTCATCTCCACATTCAGATACAGCAACATTCATTCTCCTCGATCTTGACTTCGTCTTGTAAGTGTCAATCTCAACAATCTTGGGACTGGTCTCATCGTAAGTGTTGTTGTTGATATGTTTCTCCACAGAGATTGACATTCTCTTACTATGGATTTCGCTTCTTGAATCATCAAACCTCTCCTATTATATATCAACAACATAAGTTTAGAGGTTAATTAATGTATTAGAACGGTAGAGATTATTATAAGTGAATGGTTCTTCTTACAATAGAATGTCGAGGAAGAAACATGTTGTTGCGGTTTATGCGTTGAGAACGAACGCTAGTTTGTGCTCTGAGAAGAGCTTGCATGCTATGAAGCGTTTCGGCGGCGCGTTTGCGAACTAAGTACCCTCTCACTAGAGCTTGTAGCTTCACTAGACCTTTCAACGCTCTTAACGCTTTCCTCGCCTAAAATTAAAATTAAAATTAATATTTTAAAAAACTTCATAACAATATAATTTTCATGTAAATAGCAAAAACGTGTACTGTTTCATTAAGGAAGATGTGTAAGGAGCAAGCAATGTACAGACATGCTTTTTCATTACAAATCCAAATCTAGAACAATACTTACGTGGCAAATTCGATCATTCGTGTCCGAAATAGAAGATAAAAAGGTTTGGAGAGGTTTGTGAAATTACCAAATAGCCCTTGAAGACACTTTGTATTTTCACCGCGGCCCACCGCTCCATTGTGGTCCCGGAATATCCTCCTGCTCTTCCGCTACTTGTTAGTCTGACCACCGCGACGGCAGCTTGAGCCGCTGCTACAGCTGCGTCTGCGGCTGCGGCAGTGGCGGCAGCAACCGCAATGGCGTGTTTGTTCTGTTCTTTGTCTGTTTCTGCCATGTAGGTTCTGAGCCACACGGTGTCTGCTTGGAGAACTTTCCGGTGAATGAGGGACCCACCAGTTTCTCCTCCTCCGTCGCCGGAAACTCGGTTCTCTTTCTCTTTGCTCTTTTTCATACCGAAAATACCCTTAAACCATCTTGCAGCTCTTCCCATCTCTTCCTTTCCTTTAGTTTGAGAGTTGAAGAACGGTCAAAGAAGTTTTCTCCACGTTTTATAGAGGGAAAAGGAACATAGAGATGACAAAACACAAATACCAAGACGAACTTTTCGTATGCAAAGTATGGAGAGGAAAACAAAATTTATGGCACTGAAACTGAAGACACAAGTGTGATGTTTAGTGAAAGAAGAAGCGTTGTAAAGAGAGAGAGAGATGAAAATAGATTCTTGAAAATAAATATCAGGTTCACATTTATATATATAAGTATCATTTGAATTTAAACTCCAGCTGAAGACAAATAAGGTTGGTTATACATTAGAAAGAAAAAAAACTATTTCTGTACATATGTTATGGTGAATATTTGTTTTAAAATGCACCTATTATATTGGTAAAGAACTAGCTAACTTCTGGTTTATACGATATAGCTTCAAATATAAGGTAACGTATTTTAATTCAAAACATTAACAAAGATTAAAACTTAAGCGTCAAGTTGAAGGTTCTCAGCAAATAAATCTTTTTGAGAATATCTTACCTTCGAAATTAATTAGTGCTCAGGAAATAATACTCTGAACTGAGCCAAATAAAAAAAAGAAAAGTTTATTTTTTCTCGTTTTGTTATTGCAAAACAAACAGTACTTCATTTGACAATACCTTGAATCCAGCTTCAATGAACTGACAACAGCTGTATAATCATCCTTTCTGAAACGTGAAAAGTAGGAATCATTACTCAGAAATTTGAAATCGAATTACTTATAAAAGAATAAAAAGAGATAAAGCATAAGTGGAAAATAATACGATTTGGCAGTGAAATTGGTTTAAAAAGGATAGGAAGAAAGAAAAATGATACAAGTAATACAAAATAATCTGACACAACCTCGTGAAGATTTGAATTACAAGACAAATGATGTCATGGAGAGACAAAAGATGGAGCGCTCTAATTTTTTTAACTATTAACCATTTTATTTCTTTAAATATACAAAACGAGAAAGAAAAATGGAGAATCAAACACAACGGAACACGGATCTGCAGACAAACAATGAAGACGAACAGAGTAAGTTATGCTTTTTAATTTATTTTTCAAATTAAAACTAAAAAAAAAACATCCTTCAAAGATTCAAAAGTGGTGTCTGCCTTCAACATTTGCCACTGAATAATTAAAAATATTCTTTATGGAGCATTGTGCTTACTCGATTTTAGAGATACCCTTCTTGTAGTTCCCGTCATTAGTTAATTTAATTACCCATTTCCCTTCCTCAACCCATAATCCCCAATTCATATTAAACATAATCCGTTTATATTTTTGGTACTGTATGAAGCATAAACTTAAGGTAATTGCATAGATTATGTAAAAGTCATATGGTCTAGACTATATGATCTAACGATTTGCAGAACGAAAAGATCTATTAATATACTACGTCAGAACCTAGCTATATATAAATATGGTCGTGGTTGACAAACGTTTACAAAGACATTTCCATTATTATGCTAAGGTTTACGATGTGTGGCTTATACGAAAATCAATGTAAATATGGAAACTATAAAACGTAGAAACTTTATGACTTAATGATGAGTTTATGATACTAATCAAAGAAGGTATTAGGTTTGTCTACCTCGAGAAATGAAAGTAACTTTGTGAAACCATGTACCTTTTAACGTTCTTCTTTGTACTTTTTTGGATGTGGTTTATTTGGTTTCGCATATAGATTCTAGGGTCGTTATGAGAGTTCCACGGTATGCGTACGTCCAGTAAAAAATAAATAACTTCAATTAACGTGACAAAAAAAAAAATCAAGAGATGATTTTTCTTTTTTATCCAAAATAGATCGACGTAGATTTGTGACAATGCTATTTTTTTTTGGTTGGATCCAGGTAGGTGATATTAACGAATATTACACGTAAATAAGTCTTAGGATGATAGTCATTGGGTCGAGAATGAGTGAATTTTTTGTTTGTTAAAAAAAGTGAGTAAACGAGTAAAGTTTTTAGTTACATGGTTTAAACATGTTAGTCTCGTCTAATCAAGTATGAGATGAGTATCGATTTGTTAACCAGTATATACAAAAGAGTTATTATTTTCAAACATCGTTTTTTTTGGGTTTAAACATCATCTCTTGTATACGGTATATGTTACTTTTTGAAATATGTAGTATAATGGTTTGTAATTGTGTTGTCCATGTGTCGTTAGAATATAGAAGCAAAAAAATACATTCGAGGTTGCAGCTCCTACTACGTTTACACATTCGCATTAAGCTTTTTGTTCAAAGATTGAAAACACGTTGCACATGTTAGCAGTCGAAAACGCTGCTCGTTCTCAGTCACATGTTAAGGGAAAAATCCCACCAAAAACTATCATTTGGAAAGTCCTAAAGCCTCTAAAAATGAGCAAACATTTCCACATGTTGCCAGACATTTCGCTTACCCATGAAAATATGGGATTTGATGAGATTGGGCATACTTCTAGTTATAACTTAACTAGCGGAGGAAGGCCAATTAAACCAACCCAAAAAGTTCAAAATTTGGAATAGACGAAAGCTAGTGAAAGAGGTAAATGCAGTCGTGGCCGAGGAAACCCTATTCCTTAGTTAATGTCTTTGTATTTCTTGTCTTCTAAGATTGATAGGTTGATTTTTCACTAGAGTTCTTACCTTATACTTGTTGATAGGGCCACTCCCTAAGATTTAGGGAGCATAAGACGATTTCTTAACAATTTTAACTTTTTCTTTTTACGGATTTGGATGTCTGAAATTTTTTTTGGGAATTTATGTATATATAATTTTCTTCAAAAAAATTTGGAGGTTTAAGACCAATGTTTCATCCGGTTTGTCCTAGGACCGACTTTGTTTGTTGCAATTTTTCCAAACTTTTGAGTGGAACTCATACTTTGTATTACTTTCTTTTGTCAAAAATATATATAGAAGCAAAAACACATTTCATTTTAGATTATGACATTTTGTTTAATCTAAAAAGGATTGGAAACAGATAAATTTGTGAAATAACATATGATTTAATTTATCATGTTTTAAGTTATACAACAAAAAATTATGATAATATATCAAAGATATACAAAAACCTCTATAAGAATATATATAATTACTTTTGCCATCTTATGAATAAATAATTATTTTTCATGTGGTGAAATTCAATAACTGCTATCTAAATCATGAAGATGCAAACACATAATATTCAGAATCTTCAATTTGATTTACAGAGTCTGTATATGTTGCTGACAAAAAAAGAACTTAGTGCTATTCACCTTGATTAATAGGACAAATACACCACTGATTTGTTAAGAATGTCACAGTTTTCCTCTTTTATTCATTGAGCATTTTTTTTCTATATTTAAATGAAACTAAATAAATATCTTAAGCATTAATAGAACTGTTATAGGTGAGACAGGAGTGAATCTCCATGCTTAAGACATTAGGTTGTCCAACCACAGCCCAACAAAACGTTGTTTGGGAGATTAGTCCTATCTGATGGGACGGGCGACTTACATTATAAATTTAATTACAAATGTTTGAGTGCGTTTACCATTAGTTTCACTTTCACACATCACATAATGTGTTTTTCTTTTTACTACTATTTGTATTTCTGTATGGTATACAAATATACAATTAATATGTTCATGTTTCTTTCACAGAGATGCGGTTAAAGGAAAAAGAAGCAAGATCCTAACTGGTTCGAGCTTTGAATCAATGAAATTTACTTAATCTTGTCTCAGAGCTTGGTTATATTGCAAGCCAACTCGACGAAAATGCTTCATGTTTATTTATACAAGAAGTCGTTATCAAGTTAAGGTTTTCCTCGATATCTTTAAACAAAACCACACATTTGAATCCGATGATTTACCATCTCCAAATGAAACGCAAGATAAAATTCCATCACTGACAAATCTATTTGAAACTGGATATCTTGCTCCACTACAAACACTCTCACGTATTAGAAGAAATTCTTCTATATATGTGTTTCAGCTCACTAACATTCAACAAAAAATATACACGTTCGAAGCTGAACATGATAAATCAACCCATCTTAACCAACTACTAAATAATAAACAACTACTCAAATACCATTTGTCTGAAACACTGCATAACATATGGGTGGACTTGGATTGGTATGATTAAACATTAATGTTGCAAATTCATATTGAGAAAGAATATTATTGTACATTTAAGAACATAATCGACGTAAGCTTCAAGCTCCATAATTATGCTAATACATACATTACAAGAACCTATATAGATCAACATCCTTGTTAACGTTAAAAAATTATAACTTAAGTTTTTATATATGAATACTTACCTTTTTAATTTCTTCTTTTGCCTGACTTAACCCTGTGTGCCATAGGACCCGTTTATGACATTGGCACTCTTTAAAGTTATCTTCCTCAGGCCATCTCTCAAGAAGCTCTGCGTCTAATGCTTCTTTCTCTTCCTTACCAAATCCAATATACACACTTTGTCTCTTGCTCCGTTCTGAAGTAGATACAACAATAAGAAGACATAACTCTTGTCTCTTTTTCATAAACTTCCCTTTGTTCGCTTAGATTTACAACACTACCCTTCGTTAACCATATTTCTACATTACATATACAGACACATAAAGAAGGAACACAGAGAAAACATATGAAGGGAAAATGGCTTAACCTATAATATGCCAAAATGACGTTTCTAGAAGCACTCGATTGCTCGGAGACTAGTCACTCACATAACATTTTTCATATAACTCAATGATTAGACATATACAATATGAGCACACACAAGCAATCCGATAGGTCCATCACAACTCGAAAGAGTTATCTTTTACTTTCTTTCTCCGTATAAAATTTTGAGTTTATACGTATGTACACATTAGGCTTTAATTTAGGTCAATGTCGAATACTTTATATATTCATGTCTTGGAATGAAGATATATATCTTATTTGTTTCAATTGACTCGTGAGTGTCAAGGATAGCACTCCTATTGTCTTATTGCTTATAGCAATCACAGTGGTGCGTTTCACACATTTTAATAAAGACTTTATACTCCAATGGAACAAAAGATTTTCAAATAGTTAAATCAAGAACTACTGTCTAAAACTTCTTCTTGAAAGACTGATCTCCGTATCTGTGTTCTTTCGTTTTTGGCTTTTTGCTGTTGTATTATATTTGTATTGTCCAAATATATAACATAAAATATATCACCCTTTTAACACAAGACCGTGACATATAACATATATTACAGAACATTATAATTTATCCAATTTTATTCAAATTCTAGGTTTTCTAATTCAGACTGTTTACCATCCAGAGAAATGTTCCACTGAGTTTTTTTTTTCACACACGCTTGCATCATTTCCCTGCGGTTTTTATATACAGGTTTTTAAATAAATTTTTGACATTATAGTACAAAGGTTTAGTTCAGTGGGATACACATCGAAGAAGGATTCAACCCTCAGTTTTATTGTTCTTTAGAAACAAAATAATACATATTCAACAGTTATGGGCGCCTCCACTTGATAATTCTTTATATATTGGAGAATCTTGTCTCCTGGTCACAAACCCCATGATCACTGCCTTAAGTTCCCATTCTTAATACTCATATATTTCCTTTTATTTTAATCATCTAGTATATATCATTCAGAGGATATTTCTCAGAATACGTATGGAGAAGATTATAAACGTATACGGATCAACGTCGAATTTTATAGATCAATCCAGCTAACTGAACTATCCACAGCAAAATTTATAATTTATCAGGATCAATGATGTGTATCGAAACAGTTGTTGCGACTATAGATCGAGAGCTCCTTATCACTACACTACACACACCCACACATATATATATATATATATTAATATATAGATACACATTTTATTTTATTTTTTCATAGTGTAGATAAGGTACTCATGGCTCTAGTGTTACAGATGATATATATCAACGAATCTCTTACCGCTTTTCTTAAATGTGGGCCAAATCTTCCTACTGTTTTCAGAATATATTCGTTAGTGTTCTCTATGTTTAAAGATTATGTCGGAGAAAGTTTCCATTGTATATAAAGAATTTTAGGTGTTACCAATAGGAGAGGCATTAAAGTATATAAACATTACAAAATAATCATTTTCTTATATGCCATCAACCTATTAATAAATTAAATAGATTTCAAACTAAAACCAGTTGATGTTAAGAGCATCAGCATTAGTGAACCCCATGGTTGGGGTTCACAACTGAATTTTTTTTTATTTATTTATTTTTTTTCGTTTGACTTTTTTTTTAAAAAAAAAAATTAAAGTGACCTATAGCGGGCCGCCACATGGCGTGGGGCCCGCGAAATAGTGATGAACCAGGTTCATCCTACTGAACCTTGACGACACAGGTTCACACAAATATGATTATATATTTTTTTTTTTGGGAAGGGGGTGAACCCCATGGGTGAACCCCCAATGTGGCTGCTCTAAGTGGATTAATCTATATATTTTATGTTTTTAATGATTATTTTCAACTACCGATATGAGAGATTTTGTTTTTAATATATGCACATTCAATGATAGTTTTCTAAGCATCAATTTCAGAATATTCGGATAAAGATTAAGGGCGAATTTTAGATCGAGTTATGTGGATGAGGTTGGATTGCATGGACCAAACTCTAATATTATGTTAAATTAAATGATTTTTTAATATAAAATCAATTTGTGATAAATAGATTGGTTTATCTATCTTATATATTATTAAGGATTTTTTTCAACTATCGATATGAAAGATTACATATTTAGTGGTTCAAGTTTCCCCATATAGATTTTAAATTTTGAATTTGAAGAGACCATTCATTGCATTATAAATTCAAATAATTTTTAATTAAATTTTAAAAGATTTTGTTTAACAACTTTAAATGTGTGTGGAGTGGAGAGTAGGGGTGGACACAAACCAAGTACTTGCCAGTTTTGGTTTATTTGGTATTTGGCTTGGCTTGTTCAAGTAATGAAATTTTATACTTGTACTTGGTTTATTAAAAACGAGTACTTGCACTTTCAAATACTTGTTTACTACTTGTTACTTTTAAACTAATTTATAAATTATTATTATATAATTATTTAATAATAGTTTATTAGTTTTAGTTACTTGAACCTTATATATGAATTTTTTTAAAAAAATAGTTAGTTATAATTCTAATCTAAACAATTTTAATAAAGAATATTTATTTAGTTTTTATATGTTTTAAATCGATATATGATAAATGTAAAATAAAAAACTCTAAAATATTTCTATAATATATCATTTCTAATTCATTTATCGTATAAACATGTAATTTGATTAGAATTTAGAGATTTTTTGTTTAAAAATAAAAAGACTAATAAGTCAAGTAATAAGTCATGAGTAACAAGTCAATAACGCCAAATAGTTGTTTTCATTTTAGTACTTAATATTTGTCTTATACTTGCAAGTAATTGAAATAAACGACTTGATATTCTAATTCACGAAAACGAGTACTTGACTTTAAGAGCCAAGTACGAATCAAGTAGCGAGTATAAGCCGAGTAGCAAGTAATTGTGTCCACCCCTAGTGAAGAGTGTGTCTACCCAGCATGGACATATAAGAGAATTGAAACGGCACACAATTTGACAAACAAACTTCCAAACGTTACTCAAATATACGTGCCGATTATGGGGTATCTACAGTCGACATTCGCACAAAAGATAAATTCAGTTATCAGTGATGTAACAAAACCGGTACTACTGATAACCAGATTATTTTGTTATTGTTGCCACTCCTTTTACTGTTTATTTTCCACACTTCATTTTCTTAACGTTTCGAAAGTACTTCCTGCGTTCCTTTCTTTGCTTTACGCCCTAAGCATTTTGGTGATAAGAATATTTTTTCAGCTACATATATAATTTCTTTCTTTTATCAGCTATATCTATACTATTAAAGCTTAAGTACAAAAAATTAGTGTTTGGAAACATGAATAGGTATTTAAAATTATAATGATTGGAAACAAAGATAGCCTACAAATCTAATGGACTTATTTATTAAACTAAAGATTACTGTGGCCCAAAATATCATTATTATTGTTTTTGAGTTTCTATCATTGATAGTACTTTATTTCTGAAAATTATTTATACATATATGTATTCATGTTTTAAATGTATTTAAAATAAATCAAGAATAATATATATTTATTTATATAATTTATATTGACTATTGTTATAAATTTTTAACAGTGATATACTAGCCCTTCAATTCTTCATGAAAAAATTAACTTAAAATTTTGAATAAATTGTTTAATGTATATAACTTTGCACCAAATTTAGCAAAAAAAATTTTTATAAACTATTAATAAAATGTTTACGGGTCATAATATTTTACGATGTCCCTGTTACACAATACAGTGATGAAATACAATATTTAAATAATGTACTATTACTTAGTCAAATTGGAACCATTAAAATGTAATTTTTGAAATGTTTATATATACCATAAAAACAAATACCCGCCCAGTCGGGCGGATTATAATCTAGTAACATGTTATATGTGGTAAAAATTCAGTTTCTTCGCTTCGCTTTGTAGCATCACAATCACGGACATTATTAAATGACCAATCCCTTTATTTGAAAACAGAGTAATAAGTCCATATATAGATGCTTTGAGTTAGGCATGTCTCAACGAAAATGACTATTCTAATTCAATGTTTCTGTAGTATTTATTTCATGACTCATTCAGTATTTCCCCCCCAAAATCCCCCAACCACATATTCTAACTCGTCCACGAAAATGACTACTCCAATCGGGGTCATCTCGTTGCCCTTAATTTTTACTTTAATTTAAAAAATAAAAAATATATATAATATATCATTGTTTAGTAAAAAACATTTCACGCCTTGGATTCATACGCTCTTCGAATCAAAGACTAAAGTACGTAATGAATTTTCATCCTCTAAGAAACACAACTATAGTATAGTTTTTAGTGGTTTCCAATGGTTACATGCAGCTGCATATGGTTAAACAGCATGCCACGACGAGATATTTGAATACCTTTATTTGTTAATAAGGTTACTAAGAAGTTTTCCTACTGCTTTGTTATAAGCAACTCGGTGGTGCTCGGAGTTTTTTTTTTATCGTAATAGACGTTGTACTTAATTGTAGATGATTCTACGTCGGACAGATTTTTAGATAACGTTACGTATAGTTATCACGAAAACAATGTGCTAGACTAAACAAGTTCCCTTTGTTGTGAATTATGATGTTTAAGTCGGTCCAGCGAGACACGGTCGAATGGGTGATAGATAATGCAAAATATGTAACATGCAATGTATAACAAAAGAGATGGTAGCCACCAAAATTGTGGACTGATCATTCTGAAAAGTCTTTTGGGTTTTCAACTGTTCCTTATGTACACACTCAGATTCAAAAAAATAAAAGAACAATAATGATATTTCATTCTCAGCTTTTTACATGATTTAAAGGTAGAGCTTAAGCTGGAACGAAAGTTAAAAAGAGCTTTTACAGAGAACAAACTTTTATTCGTTTTTTCATAAGGATTTACTTAGACATGATATGATTATTATGTTCTAAGTATCTTCATAAAGGCATTTTGTAAATTAAATGCTTTTACACACAAACAGCTTCAGTAATCTCATAGTTGAGTGTCTTAAAGACTTAAAGAGATGGGAAGATTACATCAAAGATCAGATCAAATGTCTCTCTGGACAAAACCAATGATTCTCTTACATATAACAAAAACCTAATGTACAAATTAAAAACTGTGAGACCCTTCGACACAGACAGAAGTGTCTGAAAGCCACTTCAGTTCCTCATTTTATCCTGCTTACTGCATCCATCTGCAAATACAGAGGAAAAATATTATAGTTATTGACTCTATAAAACATGTTAACATAAAACTAACACATATGAACATGGAACCTTACATCTCAAGGCAGATGAAATCTCAGAGCTTTTAATCACACGCAGTCTCTTCACAGATGAAACGAACATTCTAGGTTTAAAGCACATATATAAAGATTAGTTAGTATCCATTCTTTCCATACACGATAATTCATTTGTCAAAAAAAAAAAAACTAACAAAAAGTGATAATATATACTTTTTGTTTTTATATGATTTAAGAATATGATTCTACAAAACACTGAATCAGATTCAGAAAAAGAAAAGGTAGAAAAGATTCTTACTGCCAAGGAACATCCCCAACAAGCATCTTGTCTCCTTCATTGTCTTCATATGTTAAAGTAAATTCTCCTTTACCATCCAATAAACCAATGATCGGTTTCTCTTCTCCTTCACCACCAGAGGCATCTCTTTGAGCTAAAACAAAACACACTCAATAAGACAAGAATCATTCTTTAAGAAAAATAAAATAAAATAGATTTGAGACTGAGTTTTAACCTGCGAGTAGACCTCTGAAGAGTTTGTCAACGGCAAAAGAGAGCTGTTCGTAGCTACTGTAAGCATTGAGATCGATTTTTCTACCTATTGGAACACTATCCATGTTGATCTTTACAAACATTCCTTCCCTCTTAGGTTCTAGTTGCTTCTCTCCATCACCACTCTTGTTGATTTGATCGTTTCCGGGCTTTGAAAAGCTTGAGCTCGCTAGATTCTTTCTGAACGAACGAACCGGAGGCCATCCCACCACTGGACCAGGTGCAGTTCTTTATACCATGCAGTAAAAATAAATATGTTAACACAAGTCGAAAAAAAAACAGAGTAAAACAGAGTAAATCAGGCAGTAAATATTGGGAATTTAACATGTGAGGGTAAAAAAAGAAAGAAAGAAAATAAAAACAGAGAATTCAGGTGATGGGTCCCTAATGTCTAGAGAATATGCTCTGTCAAAGTAAGAAAAGTTTAACAGTGTAGGAAAAAAAGGAGATACCTTTTCTGAGAGATGTGAGGTGGAGCATAAGTGGTTTTGTTGGAAGGAGAGAAATGGTTTGTACTAAAATTGAAGATAGGTTTGTCTTCTACTTCCTTCTTGATGTTGTTTCTTGTCTCTATGTTCTTCTTTTTCATTGCATAGACTTCCTCATCACCACCGGGTGGTGCAAGCCTTAGCTCAAGTTTCTTTTCTTGATATGTGTTGTTCTTCTCTTCTTCATGGTACCATTTTCTTTCTTGAGGAATCAAGTCAAGGAGTTTATGACAACCTTCCATTGATTATGTTGTTGTTACAAGGCAAGAAGAGTTCTTATCTTGCTTATGAAAAGTAATAAAACTTTGCTTACAAGAGGAGACGTATGACAAAGATAAACCAAACCCTAAGAGAACTTTCAAAGGAAAAATACCTGAGAAACCCCAAAGAAAGAAAAACTGAGAACGAGAGAGAGATGTAATGAAGATATGGTAAGACAAGTGGTGGTTTTATACAAATCAAAGCTTGTTTTTTTTCTTCTTTGGCTCCTTTTCTCTCTCGTGCACGCTTTGGTGGGGTTTCTCTCTCTCTCTCTCAAGGTTCTGAAAGGGATCAATAAGAGAGAAAAGAAAAATAAGAATATAGAAAAAAGAGAAGTTGGATTTGTATGAAGAAGAGCCGATTAGTATAGAAAAAACTCAGAAAAAAGGAAAAGCAGAGAGTGACTCCACTTTTACTCGTAATCCTCAAAAGTGTAAAAAAAAAAAATTACATAATTCTAAAAAGAGAAAACTGTAACTTTTCTTGACATGAAAAAACAGTAAGAAAAGGGATCTAGGTTTTAGGAGATTTTAGGAGTAAAGCACACGCAATCTCATATTTTTTTCTGCCTCAAATATCGCTCATTAAAAATTAATTAAATGCGTAAATCCAGTAAACAACTTGACTAGAAAAATAAGAACAAGTAAAATAAATAATTTTTAAAAGAACGATTCAAATATGATAACAATAAGGAACTAGGGAAGATCCCATAATGTATGGTCTGTTAAAGATCACTCTCTTATCCACTGTACACAAGACTCATATCCCCATGCTTTTAAACACATTTCTTTATTGGTTTTCATAGTAATATAAATATTTAAAATAGTATAAAACTATCTACGAATATACATAAATTTTGTTTTTATGTTCATCTAATAATGAATGAACCGCATGGGAAGATCAACTGAAAGAATCCAAGAAATGGGTATACATACGAATCTGCATGTCGTCTCGATGAAGTATATAGGTGATTGTTTTATTGAAACTTGGCACACAATAAGAAAAAAAATGTCAATTTGTTAGGTGGCTAATCAATAGTTTGTCAAAAAGATAAAACAATGCGTACGTGTGGATTGCGATTGCAAACAAGTAAATAGTCAACTGTTTGTTTCCTAATCCTTGTAAATTTTCTCAAATACATCTTAATTAAAAGAATTAACATATTTTTTTTCATCAGATCTTATTTATACTATTTTGTCTTACTGACGGAGAAACGGAATGTGCATGTCTCTCCCACGTGTGAGTGGAGAGTTCCGGTCAAGTAAGGAAAGGGTATTTCGGTAAAAGATAGACGAAGTGTGTCGCTAGTCATATCTTGTCTCCGTTTTACCCAACTCCGTGACTTTCTTCCCTCACTGTCTGACAAACCTTAACCACGGTTAACCTCCTCCGGTTTTAAACTAACCGCACTTCCTTATCTCACCGTCAATACTGCAAAGTGGAACAGCAAAAGATTAAAGATCGTACAGTTAAATTTTAAAGAACAATTACTAGATCTGCGCAGACAAAGTAGACGGTGGACAGATGTTGGACTTGCACAAGATGTTAAGATCGTACGATAAGGTTTAAATTTCGGCCTTTAATCACAACCGTGCAAGTGAATATAGACGAGATAAGGCGACAGCTGAGATTTAAAAATTACAAAGCTAAAGCTTATTTATATTTCTACAAAGCATCCAATTAAAAAGCAGCCGACTCAGGAGAAAGGGAACAAAAACAACTCGTGAAATGAATGTCTTATCAGGAAAAAGATAGTGAAGAGAATAGTGGCACCAATAATGTTCTTCCCAAATTTTCACCAAGAAAATACAATCTTACACTTTAAAAACATAATTTAATATTGTCTAAATGAATGAATTATTGTATCCACTAACTATTAGTTTGCAGAGTTTTTTTTCCTTTTAGGGTTTTATTCAGTTGGTCACTTTGTGTCAGTGGATATTAGTCTCTCATCGTATGCAATATACAAATAAAATAAATTTTGGTAAAAATATCATAAACGAAATTCTAGTTTCAAAAACTATACACAAGTTTTAATAAAGCCCTCAGTCCAAAATAATGCGTGTTGTAATTTATCTAGGTAATGTTATCTACGAAATTCTAGTTTCAAAAACTATACACAAACTTTAGGGTTTTATTCAGTTGGTCACTTCGTGTCAGAGGATCATTGATGTTTACTTATGTTTTTTGCGGTTGTTAGTTTTTAGTGGATTCTTCTAATAATACCAAATAATGATGAAATGAAAAGAATGTAGCAAAAGTTTAAAGTGAAAATATTGAATATATAATATGTTAAATGTTATTTATATGCGAAGTAAGGTTATAGGAATAATTAAACTATAATATAGTTTCTAGTGTGTAAAATAGATGTCTATCTTGTTTTTTATTCTTTTATGCTGTAAATAGTTTTTATATCGGAGGTCAAAACTTGATATATTATTTATTTATAGTATTTATATTTGTAACAAATGAGTTATCAGTTTGAAAATAAATTTAATTTAAACTAATATTTGTTGTTTGGGTTTCATTAGATAGGTTTGTATATGTTTTTTTTGTAAATTTGGATTTTGTTCATGAATAATGTGCATTTTTATTTACGGCGTCATCGACTGTGGGAATCCATTCGTTGAAGTCTGATAAAAATGAAATTATAGTAACTATTAAAAATGTAAGAGAAATTACATATTCATTTTATAAATAACGAGAAATACTTAAATTTTGTTGTTTTTTATTATTTCACATACATTACTTTTTGTTAGTGCATGATAGTGCCGCGTGGGACTCATTTTGTTTTCGGTTTTTTGGACTATTCGTTTTTGATCTATTTTAATTGTTTTTGGGTTTGAGTTCGTTAAACTTTAGGATTTTTCCCACTATTTTGGACTTTAAACAATAAACCCAGAGGAAAAAAACATAAAAACATTAAAACCAAAAAGCTCATATGATAATAATTCAAACGAAAAAAACTAAAATACATAACAGCTATGTGGTTTGAACCCACACGCTTGCAAACTTAATTAGATGTCTTATACCACTCGGTTAAAATGTATTCATTGTTTATAGTCATTTTAGAAAAACTATAGGCTTTTAAAAATTAAACGCGCCGGACTCACAAAATGCTAACGTGGATACCTTAAGAAACCTTGAAGGTGTACTATTATATATAAGATTCATTATCTAGTTAATGTTTTTTTGAACTTAAATTATCTAGTTAATCTATTAATAATAACAATCTTGATTAATTTTAAAAAATGTGAATCTTCATAAAGTTGAAAGGTTGTATTTTTACTTTTAATTGTGTAAGTTTAGTTCGAAACAATGTATTTGTTCAAAATTAGTTATTTGAAAAAATGTGTTTATTTTTAATATTTTTAATATTTCAATTTTTGAAATAATGTGTCTATTGAAAAATTAGTTAATTTGAAAGAAAGTGTCTATTCAAAATATATATATAAAAAGATGCCTATTCAAAAATATATATTTTTAAAAAATATATATATTATTAGAAGGTTGTGACTATTCATTACACAACCGATCATAATTTGAAAAGTTCTAACTTCTGAACGAATTTTTTAAGTATCTATATATGTCTACAATTTTTGAAACTAAAATTTTTACTAATCTAAAAAAATGGTGAAGAATAAAGATTCTATAAAGTTATCTAAATTTGATCTACTGTTGATTTTATTAGTATTTATTATTCAATCTGATGGCCATTTTTTTCTTTAAAAAATCTGACGTCAGTCAATTGTTTCAACTTTCGACAAATGCTCATCTTCTCTAATCAACGCACATTTTCACGGTGACTTCTTTTGATAACGGAACGACACATCTCTTAGAAAAAAAATAATATAATAGACACATATGAAAAGACCCAATCTGAGATAATAGACTAAGTCACACATTGAAAAATTAGACAAAAAGAGTCTAATATATAAAGAGATGTCCAACTCTAATAGTACGAGGTCTTTTGGGATGGAAACCAAAAGTAAATCTATGCGGGCTTGTCTATTAGGTCCAAAGTGGATAATATCGTACTAATATGAAAATATAGAATTGGACATGGACTTTCACAATTCCAACAATTGGTATCAGAGCGGTTGACAAGAAATATGCAAAAAAGATCAAAATACCCTTCGAAAGATGAGTGGGTATCCTATGAGTTAGGAATATGAGGTCTGTGGCAGAAATCAAGTCAGAAGATCCTGAAAATCAGTTGTGGGACACGAGATAAATGTGATCCTTAGTTTGAGGGGGAAAATCTGAGATAATAAACTAAGTCTCGCATTGGAGAATTAGACAAGGAGAGTCTAATATATAAAGAGATGTTCAACTCTAATAGTATGAGGTCTTTTGGGATGAAAACCAAAAGTAAATCCATGCGGACTTGTCTATTAGGCCCAAAGTTAACAATATCGTACTAATATGAAAATATAGAGTTAGACATGGATTTTCACAATTCCAACACCCAATACATGTGAAAAGTCGTATCTTTTCATTATAAGAACTGAAGTTAGTTTAAAAGGTTGTCAAATTATGAAATGATGTGCGTATTTATAATTTGTGTCTTTTCATAATAATGTCAAATGTTAGTGTTTCCATTCTATTAATTTTTAAATGTAGTAATTTTAAGAGTTATGCCTTTTCTTAAAAAATAAATGCAATTTTTGTCACAAAACTAAAACATTCAATTTTCATGTAGAAAACTTAAGAGATTCAATTTTTATATTAATACACTGACTTTTAGATATAAAAAATTATAAATATTTACATACATATTAATAAATAAATATGAGCAAATTAAAAGTGAAAGACACATCTTTTATCTCAAATACTAATAAATATATTTCTCATGTAAAAAAAACTTAAGATATAAAACTTTTCATGTAAAAAACTTAAGAGATTCAAATTTTCTTATTAGTACACTGGATTTTAGATATATAACAACTGAAAATATTTGTGAAGTTTTACCTAATGAATGCAACTTTTCATGTAAAAAAATTAAGAGATGCAATTTTTTATATTCACACTGACTAAATATTTATGTAAAATATTGATAAATGAATATGAGCAAAGTGAAATTGAAAAGACACATCTGTTCATTTTTATCGAGATTCTTATTATAACCGAGCAGAGACAGACTTCAAAATTCAAATAGTAATAGTTAGAGAGTCAACAAAAAAATGATTTATATTAAAATATTATAAAATACAGTATAAATATATATTTGAAAAGACATAAATAAAAGATGCAATTTTTAATCTCAAAAAGATAAAAGCACATTAGACTGACTCAGATATAATAAATTGCAGTTATTTATATGAATTATTAATAAATAGATATAAGAAAAGTAGTTAGAGAGCCAATAAAAATGTGATTTGTATTAAAAAAATTTATAAACACAGAATACATAAAGATTTGAAAATACATCAGCAATATATGCAATTTCTTATCTTAAAAATTGATAAATGAAACTTTTCATGACAAAAACTTTAGAGATTGCATGAAGTTAAAAGTTGTCAAAATGTCTAAATATATATTTTTCATCCTAAGAATTGTATTGGTTAAAACATTTTTCTTTATACATGAGTTTGATATATGTAATATTTATTTAAGTCAATCACTTAAATGAGAGATATATAGTTGTTAGAGATTTAAGTGAAATTTTGCAATTGTTTAAGTGAATCATTGCAACTTTAGTGTAACAGTTGCACCCGATAAAATTAAATATTGCAATTGTTGGTGAATATTTTTTTTGTGAAAACCCAATGCCATCTTTAGTGATGAATCATTGCATCTGTTGCTGACAATGTTTGGTTATCAACCATTGCAGTTTTTAGTAATCTATATAAAACGTTGTGGATATTGACAAACACGCAATAATCACAAATAGACTAAAAAAGGGAGAGATTACAGTTAAACGATTTTAAAATATTTCGGATGAAAAAAAATATAAACATGGAGAGTTCTATTTTTTGTATCTTAACTTAAATTTGGAAATTTTGGTTGAGAAACCAATATAATTCTAGATTATTTATATCTCAATACCATTTTATCATAAATACTATTTAAAAATCCAATAAAGTCATCTAATGGTTTTTTATAATGTAAATCTACAATTTTATAAATTTAGATGATTTTATATAATTAAGTTAATTTAATAAGTGTTCGTGTTTTACCAAAATTCTTTCAAAAATTTAAGATAATATTATAAATAAAAAAAGATCATATCAACATAAGTCAACATATATTTATTACGATATCCAGTGAGAAATTATTTTACAAAATAAGTTTCCTTTTCCTAGTTTTCTTAATAATATTCATTGTCAATATTAATTTTTCGGGTCGACGATCTTTTTCCCCACGAGAAGTATCGTATAGCACCAAATGTCCACAGAACTATGACCCCGTTCTATTTACCCTTGTGAATAAATTTTTCAACCTATTTCCCCACCAAATTAAAGTTATATCGATATTTCCCCACAATTATAAAGATTGAAATCTAAAAACCCACAAAATCGATTTTTATTGGTTTACTGTTTATAAACAAACCGTAGATCATGTTAAGCCAATGACAAATCGGATTAAGATTCAATTAGTCGGATATTTTTAAGTTCAAATGTTGGATTGAGTTACTGTTCTGATCTAGATCAGGGTTTGGTCGGGTTTTTAATTTTGTCTTGGTTTAGTTTTGCTTGGTTTTATTATATGAGAATTGACATTTAAAATTTAGTTTTCAAAAATCATAACTAAACCAAATAGGTTGCAAATTTTATTCTCGGGAGTAAATAGAACGGGGTCATAGTTCTGTAGACATTTGGTGCTATATGATACTTCTTGTGGAGAAATAGATTGTCGATCCTATTTTTTCATGAGTACAGCCCAATACTTATAATCGCGATCAAACTTCAAAAATGCTTAGTAATTGAGTAGATTATCTTTCCACTCTCATGAGAAACTCTAATGCCATTTGTTGGTGTAACAAAGAACAATTAAAAAAAAAAAACTCGTAACTGAAAAGTCTTACTTTCTTATTGAACTCAAAGTAAATGATCTCTTTTCTTTTTTGGCATCAGTAAATTATCTCTTAAATAGGTCTTTTAACATTATTACAACTGAAACATAAACAAACTCGCACAACAAACTGAAATAAAGACTTTTCCAGCCTCTCCCATAAAGAAGGAGAACTTATTCAAACTCAGGCCAAGTTACTTGTTACAAAAGCATAGCCGTTTTATTTTTCAATCATCACCCCTTGATTTCCTTGCATTTTCCGAACACATATCAATCGGTCATCATAGTCTTCTTCAGTCACACATCACCTTATTCACCCCCACACCAAATCCTTTCTTATATCATAAAACTTACCATAATGAACCAAATATTTCCTCATGCCGAGTCTAAGATCGTTTTGAACTCCACGACTGGAATAAAGCAGTCAACGCGTGCCTTGACGAACCGGTTTCAACCAAGGCTGATTCAGCCGCATCCTTCATAGCCTTGGTCCTCTCCCTAACCAAACCCTCCTCCACTATCTCCCTAACTCGTTTCTCCACCTCCATGGAACTCACAAAGCCTGTCTCCGATTCGTTCATCGGAATAGCAATCTTGATCTCATCCACAATCACCACTCTGTTAAACCTCTGCTCAGCATATAACGGCCAAGCCACCATCGGTACACCCGCGCAAACCGCTTCAAGAATAGAGTTCCAACCGCAATGAGTAACGAACCCACTTATTGCTTTATGGTTCAGAACCGGAACTTGCGGAGCCCATGATTTAACCACCATTCCCCTATTTCCGGTTCGGTTTAGAAACCCTTCCGGTAAGAGAGATTCCAAGTCCGGTTCGGTTTGGTTTTGTAACTCTGGTGGATTACGAACCACCCACAAGAACCTTTGCTCGCTTCTCTCTAAGCCAATAGCAATCTCCTTGAGCTGTTCTTGTGAGAACAAACCTAAGCTCCCGAAACAGAGGAAGACAACACTCTGTTCCGGCTGAGAATCTAGCCAATTCAGACAAGAGTCTGCGTTTTTATTATTGTCTCCGGTTCTTGTCTTAACGATGAGCGGTCCAATAGGATAAATATTGCGAAAACAGAGCTCCTCTGTTATGGCCTTGATGGCTCTGTTCTCTAACGCCTCAAACGTGTTGATGATGATCCCTGAAGATTTCGAGAGCTGCTTAGAGAATGATATAAATGCATCGTAAACCTCATCGTTGCGGTCGAGTAGCTGTTAATAAGTGAATGAAAGTCTTACATTATTAGTTGAAATAATAGTTAACTCCATCGTCAATTGGTTTTAAGTTGGAAGTCCATAATAAAACCGAATTTAACAGTACCCTTTTAGGCATATCGGAGCCTTTGACCGGAGGAACGCCGGGAATGTTGAGTAGTGTGTGGACGTCTTTGAGGTTTTGCCCGGGGGTTGCTTCGTCAAGAGCTGGGAGATGGAAGAAGGAGGCGAGACAGGCGGCTCCGGAGGTGAAGAAGTAGTAAACCGGGAAAGTGAAGTCAACGGTGATGTCTAGCACGGCGGTGCAGAAGAAGTCAATGATCATGGCACGGAGGTTGAACGTTTGGGAGATGGAGAAGAGAGTTTTGTGGACGTTTGGGTTGCTGAAGCAGATGATTTCTAAGATGAGTGCCTCGTGGCTCTGTGAGGTTGTTGAGGAGTATGGTGTGACGGCTGGGAGGCGGTGGAAGGTGATTGAAGGGAAGGAGGAGGAGACGGTGGAGATGTATGTGGAAGTTGATTCTGGTTGATAAGGAGGTGGGACTAAGATGATGTGGATGGAGAGAGATGGGTTTTGGGAGAGGATGAGTTTGCCTAACTCTACCATGGATACTAAGTGACCTACTGGTGGTGATGGATACAGAACTATTGCTTCTTGCTTCTCCATGGTGGTTTGTGAGCTTTGTTGCAAGAATGAAAAGAAGAATGTGAAGATTGGAAGATGATGTTGATGATATGGTTTAGAGTCTCACACGGCTCTTTGATTGTGGGACAGATTAAAGATTGGTGGAGGAAAAAAAATACATGGACCAATCAATGGTGGTACATGGATAATGGATCCACTTTAAGACAAAGAAAAGTCACAAGTTGTAAAAATTTGAAAAGTCACAAAAGTAACAGCTCATTCACTCTTAGTAGTTGTTGCTCTAATGCTCCTGCTTGGTTTCTATCTGTTGTTGTAATGTTCTGTTTAATAATGAGGCTATTTTCTCTGGAGCTTTTGTAATCAAACACATCTTTCATCTCTCTCGTCACTCTTGCAACTTCTTTAAACATTCCAGCATGTAGGAAACATTAAAGAAGAGATACCATCAGGCTTAATCCCATAATGATTCATAGTTTTAAACATTTCTTGTAACCCGCTTTGGCACACCTGATCTAGCAAAGCCAATGATGATGATATTATGTGAATTTACATACGGAATGCAACCATTATCTTTATCTTTCTAAGCAACAAATTAGCGTCATTTATATCACACCAGCAACTCTTGGTATGAATTTCCAACACTCGGACGACCTTTGTTGACACCTCAACTCTACCTACTTTTTCTTAAAATGTTAATCAGCTTGTTTAAGTAGACAAGATCAGGATTCCTTAAAATGTTAAAATGTTAATCAACTAGTCTAACAACGTTCTCATATAAACCATATGCTTCTTCTGCCTTCCATACTCTGAGAAACCCCTTCATTTTATTAACAACCAGAATTGTGAAAAGTAAGGCTATTGAGGAGTTCCAAAATCTCCTTGCTGAGTCACAAAATCTATGGAGAAAGACTCTCCACAGACACAAGCAAGACTAAAACCACAGTGTGAAGATTGATGAAACATGTTAACCATGTTGCTCGGCTCTAGAGACTAATAGCACACACTTTTGTTTCAAACTATCTGTCTCCCACAGTTAAGTTTCATGCTCTTATCATCTCCCATTTATTTCAATAGTCGTTAACCAATTAGCATAAGCTGCATAGTGTTACAGACCAAACCATAAGGCCAAAAACAGAGCAAAAACCAACTTGGCTCGGCTCTAACAGACATTGAAAACCCAATAAAAAAAAAGAAAACAGCAAAAGCAAATAACCAAAAAAAACCCCCAAACTAGGATACTGTATTAGTACGGTACTATTGCTATACATTGAATAAAAATACGAACATAGTAAATATTTAAAAAAACTCAAGATCAGTTTCAAACGTATAAGTTGGATCAAGAGTGACTGAATTTACAATTTCACCAATCTAAAGATTTGTCGCCATCATCATCATCACACGAACGTAGAAGCCTTTGAGGTGCGTTGATCTGTACCAAGAGTGATTACCATCACAGTCACATCGTCATGATATCTCCTTTTCCGACCAGCCGGTACATTCAGTAACTCTTCCAACGTGAATCCTACAATCAAAGTGTACTAGTTAGTTATTGTTATTATTAGATAATAATGAAAACTGCTAATATAATAACGAAAACATTCGAAACATGAAATAAGCTTTACCAACACGAGCAGCAGCTTTAGCTACAAGGCGTTCAAGTAGAAACTTTGCTGGATCACCACAAGGATTACTAGCAATGAAGCCATGCACAAGCTCTATAGCTTCCTCGTTGCTGAAGAAATCAAACAAACCATCGCTTGCAACTATAACAAAATGATCTGACTCCGTTATCTTATGAACTCTCATTGATGGTTCCACTGAAACGTAAGGTGGACTCAAAAGGTTACGAACTCTGAGTATCCCCATCAATGCATCGTTCAGTTTCTCCTGCAATAACATAATCAGCAAACTCAAAAAAAAAAAGGAGACAAAAGCTACTTTTATATTACACAACAATACCTTCTTCAAGTAACCAACACCTAAAGCACGAGTCACTTTAAGTTTTCCTTTGATCTTTCCACCAATAACGATCTTGGGATCATCAAGATGCTCACTCAAGAGCCTAGCTTCTTCTATTTCGTTATCAACTGTATGATCCTCTGTGAGCTGAACAGCCTGCAGCTTCTTGTTACCATTATACGTCGCTAGCACCGCTCTGCTATCACCTAGATTCATGATGTAAAGATCCTTCCCAACAAGTAGAGTAACCAGAACACAAGATCCAACAGACACCAAGTCCGGTCTCTCCTCCATTTCCTGCTCAACCATCCTTAAGAAATCATTTTCCGCCTGAAGAAGCGCGCGGTTCAAACAATCCAACACTCCTTGTCTGAACAAATCAGATGAAGAAGAGTCTATAACAACACTTAAGCCATCATCAACATCTTGATGTGTCTTCATTTGATGATCAAGCAACTGGAGATGAAACACAATGGACTCATACAAAGTACAAGCCAAGAAATCAGCAGCATCTCTTCCATTGAATCCATCATAAATAGCACAGAACAACCAACCATTCTCCTCAGAGCAAACAGCCTGAACTCTATCTTCCCCAGCAGCACCTCCAGCAACTTGAACTTCCATAGCAGAGAGAACAAACCCTTCATTCACAGAAGAAGGCGAACTCATGGAGGTCAAGAAACAAGACTCCGGCTCAGGAGGACTAGGGCTGCAGCTAAGACTCGCCATGCTTCCATGGAGAGAAGGAGAGAGTATGTCAAGCTTGGAAAGCGCAGGTGAAGATGGAACTTTCCTGAATGATTTGGGAGAGTCTAGAGAAGGTAGAATCTCAGAGCCAATGACTCCGTTGCAGATGTTGGTGTTGGCTAGTGTAGGGTTACCACTTAAAGCAGCACCTGATAAACAAGAGAAGCTGCTTGTCTTTTGAAGTCTAAAGCCAGCAAGAACGCCACGGCTATCAGGAACAATAGCATCTTCAGGGATTCCTATCTTCTTAGTATTATTATTGTTGTTGTTATTGCATTGATAGCCAAAGCTTATCTCAATCTCTCCATAAGGATCACTTAACGTCTCCTGCTGCATTTTTTTGTGATTATGTTTCTGAAACAAAGAAGATCAAATTAATATTAAAATCAAAAGACTCATTAACCAAGAAAGGTACAAAAAAAAATGCATTAATCTTTTTTTTTAATAATCTGAAGAGAAGTTATTCTGATTAAAAACCAAGTTCTGATTGGAGGAGAAGTTATCCCGAGGAACAACTCTATCCGACTATGTCTGGTTTAAATGGGGAAAAAAGGCATTAATCAAGACTTGTATAATCCAAAAAAAACAGTCCTAATCAAATCTTAAACTCAGAGACTTAGCATTAGTAATGACCCTAGGTACAACATACGTGGTGGTGAGTGTAAGCACATAGTGAAAGTGAAAGATAGATGGGGCCAAGATAACAAACCCTTTTGTTTTGTTTTTTCACTTGCACAAGTTACATGTGGTTAAAAAGAAAACTCTTTTTTCAGTATAACAACATTAAATGCAGACCACAGAAAGGATTCAGATAAAAAAAAGTTTTACAGAGCATAAAAACAGAAACAGAGGAACCACAAGTGATAGAATGAAGAAAACAAAAATTGAGAATTTTTTGCCTTGAGAATAACGACTTATGTTTTGTATGTGGTCATTAACAAATTTTCACCATAGAACACATAGAGAACATAGAGAGAGAGATACATGTTTTGTATGTGGGCATTAACAAAATCTACTAAACACTTATGTCTGAATAATTCTTCACTGAGACAGTAACAAGCAAACCGAATTGCAAAACCGTGAAACAGAGTATCGAACAATAGAGAAGACATTAGAGGATGTGGATAACGTGTGTTTGTGTGTTTACCTAAATTAACGTAGAAGGGGGTGGTAACGCGGATGGGAGAGAATCGAAGAATCGGAGAGAGAAGTCGCAGAGGAAGAGAAAGTGAAGGAGACGAATCGTAGGGAGGAAAGCGAATAAGAAAAGAGTGAGGGAGAGAGAGAAGAGAGAAAAATAGAATGGATGGAGGAGAAGAGCTAACGAGTGAATGTTTTCTTTGCTAATTTTGGGTCTCTTTAAAAAATCGATGCCTCCCCCCTCTTTATAATCTTTCTCTCTCTCTCTCTCTCTTTGATTCGTCCTTACCTTTTCGATTCTTTTTTATTTTTATGTTTCTCATTCAAAGTTCAATTCTACACAGAAAGCTATGCGATTTTTATTATCTTGGTTTAAAGAAATTTTTTTTATTATATTTTAATACCTAATGTACTAAAATCTTATATTTGTAGATAATGCATCATATATTTTCATGTTTTATGTTATTTAATTAAGATCAAATACTTTAGTACAATTTATGTGTTTTTAAAAACTAAATGATATTGATATTTTTGTATATAGTTATTCAAAATAGTATGAACTTAGATGAATATATAAAAAAAATCCAAGATATGTATAATGGTATTAGATATATATTTACTTAAAGATACTTAGTATAATTATATAATTTATATAATCGAAATAATTTGATATGACTCCTACACATAAATTTATACAAAATTATATTTTTTAAAATTATACAGAGGTATTCTGGTCTCACATAAATGATTCAGACTAGTCACGTGTTGCCACGAGTTGGTCCTCTGTTTCTGGCGATGCCGAAATGTTAATTCTCCAATGGTCGGGATTCGAATCTAGGTGGCGGTACTCACAGCTGTAAGCATTTTACCACTTGAGCTAAAAGCCCCGGTTATACAAAATTATATCCATTTTTAAATCTTAACTTTAAGATAAATTTTTCTTGGTAGGATATTTTCAGATCCTTCTCCTTAAAAAAGTTGTTATATTTTTTTTGGTGGTATTGCATGGTTAAATCTACTTTTTTGAAAGAAGTTAAAAGTTTTGTATCTGTTTAAATATGCATTGTTTTTCTAATAACGTATAACCTTCGTAAATGACATGACTTATAACCAAAACAAATCTATAGACGAAATTGAGAAAAACTATAGTCAACAATTGAAGGCAATAAGTGTGTTAGTTGACATTTTCTAATGCTTATGTCATCCTCAGATCCCTACCTCTCTATTATTATTCTTGGACTGCTCAATCTACCAATATATTAATAATACTATACGATTAAGCAAATAACCTTCATTTTTGTTTTTGTTGTCCAGTTTCCCACGATACAACTTATTAAAATGACAAGAGGGATTCGCGTAAGCAATTTTAAAATGGTAAATTTCTTGTCATCCTATGACATAAACCCACATGTTCGTCCACTCTAGCACATTCTGATATGAATCATCGACTGTACATAACCTATCCAGAGGTAGAATAGCTTTCATATTTTATTTTACAGTGGCGTTAATTCATATTCAGGGAAATATTTTTCTAAAAATATTTATAATAAAAGATTGCAGCTTGGATGGGCAGCATAACATAAAAATCCACAAAATACAGAGTGACGTTATACCAAAAAAATCATAAATTATGAGTACTAGGCTACTAGTCACTAGATATCAACGTGTCGTACATCATAGTTGCCGCAAACAGAGACGTCAGGAAGTAGCTAATAAAATAAACAGTACACACATATTAATATAGTTCAAATGGTGAGCAAGAAAAAAAATCGAGAATGTTTACAAGTTAGGTCGCATGACGTAAGAAAGGGGAGCAGATCTTCACATTTTACATCTCTCTCAGAATAAATAAATACTACTAGTGTTTAATCGAAATTTGTTAAACCTGACGAAGAAGCCATAACAGTTAAATAATCACAAAGACGCAATGAAAAAGCTTTATAAATTTATATATTTTATCGAATTTTGACTTGGTTAATTTGAGTTTATATAATCTTAGCTTATGTGGTCGCATCAGAAAAAGAACTCCATCTCGATTTCGAATTTCTACATATTGAAAAAGTCCCACCACCTTAGACCGGTCTCCATATTCAACAGCAGAGACTTGTATACATGCTTAACCGGTTGCCTTTATCAGAGCTTAACAACCACTCAATCGATTCGGTTTGGTAAACTAAAATTCCGGTTTACAGCTTCTGATCGCGTTTATGCACTAATTTTTTTCCCATACCTTATACCAAAGCGATGCATCAATAAAAATTCGGGGACCAAATGTTTGGTATGATTATACAAACCAAGAGTCAATATTGTAATGCTAATAAGAGGCTGAGTGGAAGATCATATCACATCAATATCATATCATATACGACTTATCAATGATAGAGAGAGTCGTTTAGTAGTTTTGATGAAAAAAATAACCACAAAATACTAATTTGTGGCTGTTGAGCACAGGAGAGGCTGCTTGCTGTTGAAGCCAACTGATTGAAACAGTCGTCATCACTTCAATTCCTTCCCTGAAAATGACATTCGATGACAAACCCCATTTAGCTTACGCACCTTTTCTTTTGGCAATTTCTAATGAACAGGAGAGGTTTCAGTTTGTCTTTATTTAGAAAGCAATTTTCAACTATAGATTATACAGTTTCTGCAAGCTGTCCGTGTTATGTGAATCCAGATGCAAGCTGTTGTGTTATGTGCATCTAGTTGCAAAGTTCCTAACTCCTACGTCTCTTTCTTAAACCACAGAACCTGAAGTTATCTTTGTTGCTAAAAATCAACAAATGATATGTGATGTTTATGAATTCAAAGTCTTAACAAGAAGTAATGCTGAGGCTACCTTGACTTTTTTTTTTGTTTTGTATACGGGAATTAAGATGCAATGGTGTAGAAAACTTTTGTCATTCCTTTCTTTGTTCTCATCTGCGTGATCTGAGAAACGACAAGGGAAGTACATATATTCATGTAAACATCACAAAGGAAAGATATCTACTCGAGAATGGGTATAAATGGATGTGTACCTTCATGCTTATGATATCAGATATATCGGAGACGTGGGTTCCACCACAAGGACACCCAGGGTTTTCACCTAATCTTAAGACTCGTGGAGTGCTGCCCTGCAAGGTAATTAAACATAGAAACTTGAGTTTCATATACTTCCAGAAGAGAAATGTCTCAAGGCATTCTATTGTGGAATCATTTGATATCCATTTTCATCACTTAACTAACTAGCTTACTCGAACTGGAAACCTATTACTCTATTAGCCATCAATGCAAAAAGGTTAAGTGCCTTTGATGCTACCGAAGTTATCACTAACATAGATACAAAATAGATGATATAACATTGTACACAAATAGTATGAACTGATACAAAGGTTTATTTATCCATCATGGTTACACTTTTAGTTAAAAGCAAAAATGATCATTCTAAGAAAAGCCACTGCCCGTGTAGCATAGCCTCAAAATTTTGATATAACTGAATATAAACATAGCTACTCCTATAAGATCCCGACAGCATATAAGGAAAAATGCTAATTTGTAATCTGGACACTCGAGGTTCATAGTGGAAGAAAAACCATGAGAGATGGAGGAACAAGATATTGACAAATACGGTATTTGAAATACCTTGGGAATATAATCAGGAAGACTACCACCACAGAGCACGGATGCCTCTTCATAGGGTACTATAGCTGCATAAACCTTTATACAGAGCAAAACAATCAATTATTTAATAAGCCATGAACTGATAACCATCTTTCAGCTAACCTAGCCTCCTCGTCCCTCAGAACCAACAAGAGGTTGTACATGAAGGTTCACATGTTGTGTCCATGTACTACGCCTTTAGGCTTATACAGAATGAATACAGAGAGACTAGGAAGACTTACTTTTCCTCCTTTGGATATCATTTCATTAGCTTCTACCTCCAGCTCTTTCTGCTTCACCAGCAGTTCAGCCTGTGCAACCACTCCTTTGTACTCCACAAAAGGACTGATCATATATCGTATTGTTAGTTAAATAACCAATTTAAGTTGCAAAAGACTCAAACTACGAACAAATCCTAAAAATCTCTTACCCGTCAGGGAAATGGTACCCTTTTCCAGGCTCCAAATGTCCTAACCCAACTTTCTGCATACACAAATCCAGCAAGTGTCCAGCTGAATGCAACCTGATACATGAATAAAAAATGTACACTTTAACGGCTCAAAATCTAGTTTCCAGAAACCTTTGTGGCATCATGTGATGCATAACAATCTTTCACAGCCGATATAACAATTCAGAAGATCTCCAAAAGCATATTCACATCATCTTAAAGCATCAGTCACCACTTTGCAGAAAATACGTTCAGTGCCAAAACTACTAACCAACCTTACAACTTCTATTTAGCTTCAATGAGAATACTTTTTGTCTTGCCTGGAATTGAGTATACGCCTTGGTTCATCAACAAGCAAGTGAACTTGTTGCCCCTTTTCAACATCTTCAGGAGCTGATCCTTCGAAAACTCCGTAATGGAGAACCTAAAGGGAAGGGAATACACAAATATCATGATGAGAGGAACAATTTAGATAGGAAATTCAAAAAAAAAATCTTACGATTCCATCTTTGGATCGAACATCTTGAACTGAGAATTTGAAATCCGAACCGGCGAATTCGATTAAACCGGTGTCTGATGGCTGACCTCCACCTTGCGGATGAAACACGGTAGAGTCTAATATAAGAGCTATACGTCCATCCTCCGCCTGTTTCATCATATATATATGTATTAATGGATTCAGCATTGTTTAAAGAAGACGGCGAAGAATGAAGAACGGACCTTGAATAAGGAGAGGATCGTGGCTTGGGATTGGAGTTTAAACATATCTACATGATAATCAAGCTTTGTCGGAGGATAATCCATGTTGGTTCTTATGGGGAACACAGAAGAGAAGTTAAGTGCCGTATTACATAACACTTGACAAATTTCACTGAAAGCCGCCTCTCGAAGTATCTGCGATGTAGTAGTTAAGCCTTTAAATCTCCTTTTTGGGCTTCAAATATACCTTTTTTGGTCATATTGGGCTTTGAATTTTCAATCTGTTTAACACCATTTTTACATATTTATTTTTGGAAAAATGAAACCTGGCATTTACCCAATGTTATCGACATTCAAGTTTGATAAACTTTTCGTTTGGTAGAGATTTCATGGATGAAAAAAGATAAGATACATTCTGGGTGAAACTCTGCTACCCTTGTTTATTCTAATTTTTTTATTATAGATTTTAATGTTAAAACTCTAAAAGTTAAACTACCTTTGCTGGGTTTTCTTTTTGGTACACAATTGTTGGGGTTTTTTTTTGGTTTGTGATTATATATTTTAGTAACAACTAATGTAAGAATATAAAACTGCAGAGGAAAAACTGACTAAAATACAAATAAAGCTCAATTCCCGGGAAGTGTAGGTCCAAATCCTCTTCAAAACTCATCTTCTATCATAAACTTCTGTTTGGTGGCGGCGTGGCGCTGCACTTGATATGATTTTAATAATGTTCAAAATTATTCACGTCAACCAAAATATTCAGTTCGATGACATTACAAATTACAACTAGAGTAACAGTAATTAGTAACACAGTAAAACCTCCTTAATTTCATTTAAAAAGTTGGTTTACTTGGAACGTTGTTATCTGACATGATCACAAATCATGGAAGGAAACTACTCATAATTGTACAAACTAAAATTAAATGTGTTTTGTGTTATTCTTATCTACCCTTGTACTCACTTTTTATTATTCTTAGTACCAAACATTAGATTTTCAAATGTATATGCATAACGACATAAGGAAAAGCTTACTCTTTTCAGAGAAAAAAAGGAAAAACATAATCATAACTTTTATTGACATTTTGAGTACAATTGTTTTACTTATGTTTATGATTTATAACATTGTGATTTTTGCGAGAGACAAAGTCAAGAGTAAAAATAAGTAAGTAAAAAGAAGTTTCATTAAAATGCCAGAACAGAGAATTATAAATTTGTAAAATTGGTTTACATTATTACAGTAAATCATCTATAAAATCAGTAAAGTGACCAAGAAAATTAAAAAAAGTAAGGTGGATGTCTCAATCAACACACTTAGCGCATTAAACACCCTTAGATCTGAAGCTAACAAAAAGCCCACTTGTAAAGCTGTCTTAACATCACACTAAAGTCAAAGTGGTATTACCGTAATTAATACACAACTCTAGTGGCATTTCAACATGTTACCTCTCTTTTAACTAAACCTTGTCTCTGTTTCTCTTTCATCAAAGTTCGTGCACTGAAAAAGATGAGAGAACTCACCAGAAACTCCGGCACGGCGGCGATTCTCGCGATCTTTCTAATCCTCGCCGTTAACGTAGCCGCCGATTTCCCTCCGTTCGAGACAGAGTGCCGAGGTACCATAGCCGAGTGCTCGGTTTCCGCCGCGCTCGGAGACGAAGGAGAGCTCTTCTACGGCGGAGGAATGGGAGCAGAGTTCGAGATGGACTCGGAGATCAACCGGCGCATGTTAGCGAACAGGAGGTACATAAGCTACGGTGCGCTGAGGAGAAACACTGTGCCTTGCTCACGACGCGGCGCATCTTACTACAATTGCCGACGTGGCGCTCACGCAAACCCTTACTCTCGCGGCTGCAGCGCCATCACTCGTTGCCGGCGATGAATCTGTAACTGTAATTTTTCCTCATTATTCTTTTCTGTTTATTATATATATATAATTTGACGAATTTTATTGCAGTTCCCATTCGCATATATAACTATTTATATATGTAAATTTTGCTTGGAATAATCTGTCATTGATGTAAAAGTACCACGAAAATAAAAAATCGAATTAAACTAGATAATTTTACTTTGTAATCAAATAGCATCATTGGTGAATCAGTGATTAACGAATGTGTTGAAATAATATTGTATTTAAGTGGAATATTGATGGGCAGGTAATGCGTATTATATCATTGATAAAATAGTGTATTTTATGTATTTATTCGTATTCATCGGTTCATCCCGCATGTGCTAGAGAACTACCAGAAAAGAATGGAGAAAGTATGATGGCGAAATAAATAAAATAAAATAAAATAATAAACTATTTAATTTGTATATTATTTGTAAATTGTAATTATTGATAAGAAAAAAAAAGAGACGATGATTTGATTTGGTTGGAAGCCAACTAAAGCCAGCCTCACCTGGATCCCTTTCGGCTGAGCCTCACGTGTAGGATAATCTGTAATACTATTAATTCATAATACGCACATCACCCGAAAGAAATGTATTTATATTAAATAATATACCATAGTCCAAGTAACAAAATCATGTCGAATGTCGACGAGAAAAAACAAAATCATGTCGAATGTCGACGAGAAAAAACAAAATCATGAATTTCGATATGAAATTTGTTGTCACGAGAACTCAAATGTGTAAGACCAAAAAACATAAGCTCTTCGTCACTAACTGGAATTGACCATTAGTTGGGGGGGAAATTTTGTCAAAAAGTTGTAAAACTTTACATTAATTCAAAAGGGATACAGATGGTTAAGGACCCAAACATTAAATATCGCAACAACAATTCAATTTTGATTTATTGCACTCTCAAATCTAACGGGTCTTATATTTCTTGTCATAATATATATGCAAAAAAAGAATGAATAACAAAGTTCGCGACCACATCTCTCTCTCCCCATCCCTCATGGACAGCCCAGAGAGGCTAACAAAACTCATCATAGATTTGTTATACATTCGAATTATTATGTACAAATATCCAATGATGAAGCTCAAATATTATATAGAAATTAGAAAGTCTCTATTGTGTGCATACAAGACAAGAAACGACAACTACATCTTCCGGGTCCTTGTCACGCGGACTTAGCTTTCCCATATCCCATATCCTTGATATACAAATCTCTCCATACAAGTAACATTTTCTTTCCAAAATAATTCATTTTGGCAGATTCGAATGGTTACAATTTACATCACAGACAGTAGCTGGCATTGATTTTTTTAGGATCAATGAGCTAACAAATAGTATACTTTTTATATTGAAAAAATATGAGTTCCTCGACTTACCATATCTTCATATGTCAGTCACTCGGAAGCAATAGGTTTCCAATGGAATATCGATCAAGCAACAACTCTTTTGGACCCACTACTAAAGATGGACTCGGACCAGCTTAGCCGTATAGTAGCTATAAGTGACCGGTTCAAAATAAACCATGATGATTTTTGATGTCTCTTAGAGCACTCCTATTGAAGGTTTACAATAGGGGTTCACACGCAAACCTAAAAAAAAATTAATATTAAAATTAGATATCTATGAACCTCTCTCTCAAAACTTCATTGCCATGAACCCCCATGAACTCAGATTTACCACGTGGTAGTTATTGATTGATCCGATTATTATTATTGTTAATTTTTTTTAAAAGCTTAAATGAAAAAAAAAAGATAAAGTAATGAAAAAGGGGGGTTCACAAGAGTTCATTGATGTTGTTGCTCTTAGGTTTGTCCTTTTCAACAATTCACACCCAAATATATTCATGGTTCTTAGTTCGAACAAGGGTAGTTCCAAGTGTACTAAGACATATTGTCTTAATATAATATTTATAACGTGAACTAACTCTAGCTGCAACAATGAAGGTGAATTTATGAGTGAAAAAAAAACAAAATCTAAATCAACATTAGATTTCTCAGCATCAAAAACCAAACAAAGAAAAGACAAATTACGTAACAAAACTAAACTTATAATAATGGTTCTTCTCTTGGACCTCAAGGAACCGGGACCAAGCTTGGAAAATAGGTACAATGCAAAGGCCAAGGATCAACCACATCATCTAGTTGGACTTTTCTGATCAACTTGTTTTCTTCCACAACATAGATCCAAGGATGGCCAGTTTCATCGCAAGAACACAGAACAAGCCTTTTATCGTCGATGAAGTAACTTGTCTGAGAGTCGGTAAATTCGTCCGGTACTAAGCTTGGAAAGTTAGGTATCGAAAAAGTCATGAAGTTCATCCAAACCACATCATCACCATTCTCAATGTTTATCTTGTTCTTGGTTACCCAAATCTCTATCGTCTTTGTCACGTGGCATTGTTTCAACAACGATAACCGATCTTCCTTATAGACCCTAAGGACAAGAGCATCGAGGGAATTTTTTATCCCGCATGGTAGATAACAAAATACGTTAAAGAATCTTTCCCTCGAAAAATTGAAGTTAACTAGATGGTACAAGGGATCAGTCTTGTCATAAAAACCAATCCAATACAAATTTCCATTTAACGATACTCCACCTCTCGTCAATAAGATATCTGTTTTATCTTCCAGACTTTTGTCTCCATGGATAGGTTCCAACTCGAGTTTTTTCCACACATTGGAAGCAAAGTCTTGTGTTTTCCATCTGGAATGGTCCGTCCAATAAGACCTAATGGTCTTGTAACGTCTTTCCTCAACTCTCACGCTGTTGTTATTAACATAACCTATGCCGTCGATCCTGAAACTAGGTTTGCTAGCATCATCAGCTTTGATCCATCTACTTTGTTTCAACCACGGGTTCCAAACCACGGTCGCTTTATCCATATAACATAGTAAGAACTCATTGCAATCAACCAAATATTTAATATCAGATTCTTCACAGGGAAAATCCAATGTTAACTCACGCACCTTTATGTTAGGGTCAATGCTTACCGAGTAAATCTTGGACTTGGTTGTTAGAATGAATTGAAACGTCAACTTGTGGATGTTGATGAACGTGTTGTCGTTGAAGAGAGCGTTCCATCGTTTGCAAACGATTCTGAAGCGTACAAGAGATATTGGAGGGACATGAGAGAGTATTTCTTCAATCATCTCCCATGGAAGCTGTTCATGATCATGTGCCGCTATAGCCTTTTTGGTTTTGATTGAACCCATTATCTGTGTTAGGGTTTGAACCGAATGTCCGTCACATACATCTTCAAAATAAAGGATGCTATTATCAAAACAATACATAGAATTAGGGTTTCGCAAGTGAGTAACGTGACCATAGATGATGAGTGTAACACGTGTAATATCCCCTTTTCTTCCTTAATATGAACTCTTTAATTATTCTATTTACGGTTTTTTCTAAACTGTAATATATCCGACTTATGATTTGATTGTAGGGCTGATAACAAAGTAGTAATATTATGTTATATAAAAGTAATATGTTCTCATAAATATATATATTTAACAAAGTGATAGGTAGAACATTAAATGATTTTAAATATAAAAAATATCCTATAAACCTAATATGATATATAATTGTTATTTCTAATATGTATATATATATATATTTTTTTTTTTGATATTTCTTTTGATAATAGTTAATTATATTTTAATATGAAATATTTTACTTTATGTAAAAATCAACATTTTATCAAAGGTTACTTACGAGCATGGTTCTAAAACGCGGGCGATTTGCCGCATAGGCGCCCGGCAAGGCGTTGGGCGTAACCACACCGCCACGACTTTGACCAAATCGGTCGAACTAATCGGTCAACGCTTAACTGGTCAACAAGACCGATTAATCACTTGAAAATTCGGATTAAACCGATTTAAACAACAAAAAAACTGGACTTATTGTCAAAATTGGGCTTTATATCAAGCCCATATGACTGCCGAGAATTACTAGACTCTCCCAGCCATATTAGTCGATGTGGGACAAAGTTAACTAGTCTTTTTTTTCTTTTCAATCGCACTAATAAAGGTGAAAAAAAACAGTGCTCAATGGGAGAATCGAAACCGCCATCTCTGAGATGTATATGTCCCTCACGAACCATTGAACCATACTACTTTTACATGTAGAACTCACATATATAAATAAATATTTATATATTTATAATTAAATATTTTAAAAATTAATTCCCGATTAATTTTCGATTAATCCCCGATTAATCAACTAGGCGCTAGTCCCAACCCGAGCGCCCGACTAGCGCCTAACGAGTTCTTGACCACTGCTTACGAGCAAGTGTGTGATGGTGAGACATGTCCTGATTCGCCTATGAAACTACATTTTGAGTCGGATACAAATTCCACTCTGAAGAAGCCCAAACATCTAACTGAAATTGCCAAGTGAATAGGGCTTAGGGAAAAACCTTGTCCGTTTCAATCATTCACACACAAGTGTATGTACTCATGGATGCGTGGTTCTAAGTTCTAATTAAAAGATTATTTTGTAAGTAGTTCCAACTGTACTAGCTCGCTCTAAAGTAATTCGTTTATCCAAGAAGACAATATAAATAATAAGCAGACTCAAGCTGCAACAATGGATATGATTTCATCAATGAAAAATGCAAACAAAATCCAAACCAATGTTAGCTTCATCAGCATCAAAAACTAAACAAGAAGACAAAAAAAGGTAATAAAACTAAACTTGTAATAATATTTCTACTCTTGGACCTCCAGGAACCGGAACCAAACTTGGAAAATGGGTACAATGCAAAGGCCAGGGATCAGCCACATAATTTAGTTGGACTTTCCTGATCATCTTGTTTTTTTCCACAACATAGATCCAAGGATGGCCAGATTCATCGCAAGAACACAAAACAAGCCTTTTATCGTGATAAAGTAACTTGGCTGAGAGCATTCGTTTGGTACTAAACCTGGAAAGTTAGGTATGGACAAAGTCATGAAACTAATCCAAACCACATCACCACCATTCTCAATGTTAATCTTGTTCTTGGTCACCCAAATCTCAATCTTCTTTGTGTTGTAGCATTGTTTCAACAACGAAAACCGATCTCCCCTAAAAATCCCAAGGACGAGAGCATCGAGAGGATGGTTCATCCCACATGGTAGGTAACAAAAATACTTCAGAGAATTCTTATTTCGAAAAATCGAAGTTAAATAGATGGTACAACGGATCAGTCTTGTCATAAAAACCAACCCAATACAAATTTCCATTTAAAGTTACACAACTTCTCGAGTGAAAGGTAGCTTCTTCATTGCCTGAAGTTGGTTCCAAGTCGAGGTCTTTCCACTCATCAGAGACGAAGTCATGGATCTCAAACAGTGAGTCCTCCGAATCGTCCGGCCTATAAGACCCAATGGTCTTGTATTGTCTTTCCTCAGCTCTCATGTTATTATTATTATTATTATTATTATTATTATTATTATTATTATTATTATTATTATTATTATTATTATTATTATTAACATAACCTATGCCATCGACTTGGGAATTAGGTTTGCTATCATCGGCTTTGATCCATCTACTTTGTTTCAACCACGGATTCCAAACCGCGGCTCATTGTTCAGTGCAACATAGCAATAACTCATTGCAATCATTAACCAAATCTTTAATTTGAGATTCTATTCCTGGAATATCCAGTGTTAACTCACACACTGTTATTTTAGGGTCAATACTTACCGAGTAAATCTTGGACATGGTTGTTAAGATAAATCGAAATGTCAACTTGTGGTTGTTGATGAACGTGTTGTCGTTGACGAGAGCGTTCCATCGTTTGCAAACGGTTCTGAAGCGAACAAGAGATATTGGAGGGACATGAGAGAGTATTTCTTCAATCATCTCCCATGGAAGCTGTTCCCGATCATGTTCAGCTACAGCCTTTTTCGTTTTGGTTGAATCCATCGTCTTTTTGTAGCTAGGGTTTGAACCGAATGTCCGTCAAATATGCATCTTCAAAATACAGGCTGCGATGGTCAAAACTATAAATACTTTTTTTTTTGATCAAAAACTATAAATACTTAGGAGGGTTTAACAAGTGAGTATTACAATTTTCCTTTTTTTTTTTTGTTGCCGTATTACAATTTTCCTTTATTTCTTCCTTTTAATACTGATGGTCCGATCCATTGCTCTGACATGGTTGTGAGGTTTAAGATATTAATTTTTATATATATTTGATGTATATAACAATTATTTTCCTAATAAAAACAACAATACAAAGACATATCAACTACATAGAGCAAGATCCTTACCAATCAGAATAACTTGGCCCCCTATTCGTTTCTGTATCTAGACGTTATTAGATGCAAATATGAAGACGTTGTGTGTACACTATTACATCAACATCTAGATGATGTATCTAGATGCAAAATCCATAATATTAGACCTTCCAATACAAATTTAAAGATTAGTTAAACTATTTATTATTATTATATAATAAAAATTGTGATTTTACGTTGAAATCAGAAATTCTTGTTTTCCTGTCAAAACAAAAAAAAATTGTGTTTTCTTATCTCAAAAGTGTTTTCCAGCTAAAATGTTGCAATTTTGGTGAAATTTTTTAATTCTACAGTTTTGGCTTGAAAACTTCAATTTTGAAATTTTGGCGAATTGCGGTTTTAGCGAAAAAATCAATTTCATGGTTTTTGCGAGAAAACATGATATTAAAAAAAAAAGTTGACTGGAAAACACGATTTTTGAAGTTTTTGCGGGAAACCTGATTTTGCGGTTTTTTGACGTAAATTCAATTTTATGGTTTTAGCGGAAAAACTAGATTTTATGGATTTTGTGGAAAACATGATTTTGCGATTTTTACCAAAAACATGAGTTTGTGGTTTTAGCGGAAAATCTTAATTTTACAGTTTCTATGAGAAAAGACATGGACATGACTTTACGATTTTGGCGGGAGAACAAGATTTCACGATTTTGACGAAAAAGCAAGATTTCGTGATTGTGGGTGGAAAACTCAATTCTCGAATTTTGATAGAAAAATTCAATTTAAAGTTTTGATGTGAAAGCTTGATTTTATGGTTGTTTGCTATATATTATTAAATTTTAATAAAAACAACATCTAGTATTTATATATTTAAGAAATTGTATGTTGACAAAAATGAATATAAAAAATTGAGTTATATTTAGTTTATTGAAATTCTTTAGATAGATGTGAAAGTAAATAAAATTTTGGTTTAGTAAAATTAGTTTAAAATATTTTTGTTTTCTTTTGTTTATATATTTAATTTGAGTTTATGGTAGTTATAAATTCTTAATTGTTTGGTTATGGATAACTCATAATCCATTACTATTCAAACCATTTTAGTCCAATCCACTAAGTATATCAATTTATTTTATTCACTAATCTATTTATTTCTATCCATTAAGATCTAATCCATTTATATCCAATTTTTCTATCCATTAAGATCCATGGTATGAATTAGGTTGATTGATCCTTAATTTTATCCATTTTGACACCTTAAGTTGCATCTAATACAAAAAGATAACATGGCTTAATTATATGAGTGGACGAAACACCGAAAAGTGCGAAATGGTGCGAAATGTTAAACGGTATATATATGGTTGGTAAACATTATAAGTAATGAACAGAAGCAAGATCCATTTAACAAGCTTTTAAGTTTTAACTATGACTAACCCAGAGGGGTGATGGGTAGTCTTTAACGTCAATAAGTAAACTGTAACATAATCTTTAAGAAAAGCTTTATGCAAAATCCAGAGATACACATGAACAAAAAAACTAGGTGTGCTTTTTTCTACCATACACCACCACACGAAGGTTTTGGAAAGACAATGAAACCACAGCTAAGTTCTTGAACTTTTCAACCAAAGGGCAAACTAAGTTTCTGCTCCAAACCAAAAGCCACATCAACATTAGCAACCTATTAAGAGGGTTTACAGCAAATGGAACAAAGTAAGCAAAACCAGATACTGTATATTATTACCTTTTCAACTCAAAACTCTAAGATGTTCTTTTGGGAAGTAAATTCAAACCTAAGTGTTATTCATTCTTCTCAATATTCCATTTGCTGAGGGGAATAATAACTAAGAATCTTCTTGAACAGAGGAACAAGTGCCACCACAGCAAGTTGTAGCTGCTCGGAGCTGTTTATGCGGATGCTTACTTGCCCCCCTTTGTTGTTCAGATTAGCACGAGCTATCAGATTAGATGAACGACCTATGGGCACTTGGGACTGTATATTCCCTCCAATAGCAAGATCGCCGTGCCAATCCATCACAGAAAGTCCAAGAGTAGATAAGAATCTACCAAGCGGATAATCTTTATCTCTCAACTGAGCTTCTAAACTACCCCCATAAGCAACATCTCCTCGACTAGTCATTGCCCCACCACACATAACCATTCTGAACCTTTTATTAGCAATCAACTTATCTTCTACTTTTAGCCCCGCAGACACCGAATCACCCAAGAGCGTTACAGAGAGACCAGCTGCAGCTTTGTGTCTCCTAAAATTGTTAAATCTCATGTCACTTCGAACAGTGTAAGCCAATTCCTTCCCAGCATTTTGCATCTCAAAACCTAGGGAGGTTGATCTACCCTCTCCATGTTTAACCGAGCTGGCCATTTCCACCTGCACATTTGCATCCTTCTTGTCCTTTGTCACTTGGCCCGAGAAAGATATCGGTATCTTTTCTTTAACAACAAAAAGTCGCTCTGCATTTACACCTTCATACCCAACATCATGATCCCACCCCTGAGTTTCCAGGACTGGCCAAACAAGCCACTGATTGGAGGAATCAATGGACCGGTATCTGTGAGTAGGATTGTCAGAGTCGAACGATGCAGGCAGAGATAAATCTGGCATGGGAACTGGAACGGAAGCTGGTTCACTTCTCTCCTCTTCCACATTTTCACTAGGCTCGTTAGCCATATCTTTAATCTCGGCAGCAAATTTCTTCATCATCTTACGCCTCTTTTTTTCCTCTTTCATCTGCCTTTTCATAAATAGTTTCTCTCGGTACTCCATCTCATCAAGATATTCCTTCTTCTGAGATTTGCTAAGCTTAGCCATCTCAGCTTTAGTCAATCGCTTAAAAGGAGGAAGCTGATCGTACTCTGATTCTTCGTCAGAACCTGATGATTCGTCCAAATCTTCTTCATCTTCTTCATCACCGTACTGCTCTTCAGGAAGTTTAGCTTGCGGTCTCGATTGCAGAAACGATGAGAGAAGAAGCGGCAGTGATGGAGCCTTGGATCGAGCTACAAATGGTTTGCCTGGATTGTTATTATCTTGTAATTTCAGAAGAGCATTTGCTTCTGCTAGAATCTTGGACGCAAATGAGAGTAATAGCAAATGAGGCTTCCACACTTGGCCATTCGGCAATACTCTCTGACCTGCCCGATTTGTCCTGCAAGCAGAGTGGTTCTCAACTAAAGAAACANGCTACAAATGGTTTGCCTGGATTGTTATTATCTTGTAATTTCAGAAGAGCATTTGCTTCTGCTAGAATCTTGGACGCAAATGAGAGTAATAGCAAATGAGGCTTCCACACTTGGCCATTCGGCAATACTCTCTGACCTGCCCGATTTGTCCTGCAAGCAGAGTGGTTCTCAACTAAAGAAACAGGATTCATGAGCCTCAAATCTCCAGCTGCTTGGCGAATGGCTTGCTGAATGACATGAGAACGTTGTGTTACAAACATCTCATAGCTAGATGCAGTGCCATTTGGGCCATCTGGTGGAGCAGAAGCGGCATGAGTCAAACCCACAATGGCATTAAACCAGATCGATGGTCCAAAAACATCGGTGATGGTGCGCAAAAGAAGCATGTCACCAGAATCTCTGCTTTGCATATCCAGCCTATCAAGATACAATACAATATCCGGCGGATTTTTCTTTATGAAAGCCTTAACAGACTTCAGTATTTTCTCATTCTTGTGTTGGTCAGACCATGATGGTAAGAGACCTGGAGTGTCAATCACTCGAACCTTAATTCCCTGAACAAAACCCTCAACTTCCTGAACCCTTTTAGTCCCCATCTGGAATGCATCAGTACAAATTTTCGCTTCATCAAAAATAGAATTGATCGTCGCACTCTTACCAACTCCACTTTTACCGAGCACCATAATCGTACAAGAAAAATCAAGTGGATCCTGTCCAGCTGCCTCAAGCTGTTCCGCCATGGAACTGGCACGATCAAAACTAAAGGCACCAACACGGCTTCCGTTTCTACCCCTCAACTGCTCAGCCAATCCAAGCCTATACAAAACCTGAGCAACAACAACATTATGTGGAGTTTGCCCTAATCTATGAGAAAGCCTCAAAAACTTGACCCTGATCAACTGGAGCATCTCACGGGTCTCATCATGCTCATCGGTCTCTGCAGTGGTAGGGTCCTCTGCTTGCTGAGACTGATTGTGAGACGCATTGCCATTAACACGAGGCTGATGAGGAACACGTGGTGTGGATTCCAAAAGAGAAGCATCACGCCCAAGGCCTGCTGGTCGAGCAGGAGGTAACGCTGCAGTATTACTTGTAGACTCTGCTGGCGAAACAGTGCTTACTACCTCAGATTTTCTTTCCAAATGTGGGCTCTCCTTAATCTCTGGACTTGTATTCACTCTGCTGCCTTGATGCTTTTCAAATTCCTTATTAGGTTGAGAAGTATGTCCTCCATTACTGTTTTGAACTGTATCATGTTCTCTACTGATGTGACCTTCAGTCTCTCCCTTTTCCTCAGAACTAGATTTCTCTAATGGAGGCGAGGTCACAGTACAAGCTACTTCAGTACTATCATTCAAGGATCTCTCACTTGAAGCACGTTTAACAGTGTTGTCGTCGGAAACAGTCTCACCATTTCTTTGTGCCCCAGACTCATTCTCATAGCCATCCTTATCGGTTCCTTCACGTTTCCCAGTCTCATCAACATATCCCTCTTCAATACCATCATTCCTTGTTTCCTCGATCACTTCATTCACCAGTTGTCTATTCTCAGGAGAAACGTTTCCATTTTCCGAAAAAGAATGTGTATTTCTCTTTTCGATATTCACATCCCCATCCCCTAAATTGGAAGTAGCTTTCTCGCTCACATGCTCTCCACCTTCTCCACTCTCATCACCATTCACTCCTTCCAGATCATTCCTTGTTTCCCCTATCACATCAGCCACCAGTTGTTTCTTCTCAGGAGAGGCAATTCCATTTTCAGAAAAAGAACGTGTAGCTTTCTCGCTCACATTCTCTTCCCCTGCTCCCTCCTCATCACCATTCAATTTCAAAGTCACAAAACCTTGAGCAGCCTCACCATGACTCTCTCCACTAACCTTGGAATCCTTGTTCTCACTGCTACTCACTTCTTCCAAATCATCCACGAAATTTTCAGGAGTTTCCACAAAGACCTCATCTACAGCATCCCTTCGATCATCATCAGAAACCACCAATTCAATTTTCTCTACCTGCTCATCGTTAATTCTACCGTCTGCAAGCTTCTTCTCTTCCATATCTGACCTAATCACAACCATAAACAAAACCTAATCACGAATCAATCAGACTAAAAACGCTTAAATTTTAATATAAAAAATTCCAACAACCCTAACAATAACAATAGAGCAGAAACGAAACCCTAGCTCATGATTATCGCAACAGACTCTAGACGACACGTCGTTTTCATTGAAAATTGAACTCTAAAAGCTTACGCGAAACAGAGTGGAGAACAGCAATGGCGGAAATCTAACCTCGTTTGGAGAGAGAGGCAAAACTTTTGACGGGAAGGTGGAGAGGAGATAAGAGCGATCTATGGACGGTGGATATCCGTTTTGGGTTTAAGCATCGTACGGTGGAAACATGAAGTGGGCCAAAGCCTTTTAGGTGGGCTGCTAAATCTTGTTGGCCTTTTTGCGATCACTTACACGAGAGAGAGATACTTGTTTTTCTTTTTATTTGGAGCTATTCACCTGTCTTTCTATTGCTTGTCAGTAGACGATTAGACAGTAGCTAATGTTTTATACTCATTCCGTTTCATTTTAATTGTCACTAGATTTTGACCCGCGCAACCGCGCGGGTGTTTGTTTTAGTTTATAGTTAGTTATATAAACATTTTGTTTTCACTTGTAATTGGTATATATTATAGTAATCACATATTTACGATATGTATAGTAAAAATTTTTCAAACATAATAATATTATATAATACGTGTTTTAATCAAATAGATTGTTTCAAATTTTCTATATTATACATGTTTTTCAAACATGTGTTTGTTTCTTCTTCTATATTTTATTGTTTGTTACATTAGTATTTCATTTTTAGTTAAAGTAATATAAATAGTGCTTGATTAAATATTAGTATACTTTAATTTGTAAAGATAATATAAACTTCGAAGATTTTTTTGCTAAAAACTAAATTTATAACTTCATAAGTTAATATTATAAAGAATTTTATTAAAAAAGATTTTTTAAACAATTTATTTTAAAACAATATAATTTTAAAAATTTACATCGAAATAAGTTTATCTAGTATATATACGATGTAAATTTTGTTAGGGTATATAAGTATTCCATATTACGAATATGTGATTTTTGTTAATATATTGTGGATGCATTTAAGTATTATTGACATATTTCCTTATAAATAATAGAAAATTTTTAAATTTATATCTGTTGACATATTTTGTGTGACTAAGTTGGAAAGTTTGGGGTAATTTACCAAAACTAAATTGTTAAGTGTATTTTTGTAATTATAGATATGATTTTTCATAAGATATAATAATGATAAGATTATTAGAGAGTTAATGTAACATGACTTTTTAGTAATAGTCCATTTTTAAAAAAAAATCGCACATAAAGTCAAGTCATGACTTCTGTTTTAATATATAAGATTCTACGTTGTTGAACATAGATTAAAGAAACATTTAATTTTACATATTTTCAAGAAAAAAACACAATTACCTATACACCTAACCACTTTTTAACCAATATAAAAATAGAATATTATGTAAAACTAATAAATTTTATCTCGAAACTCTAAAATGACACTTATTTTGAAACGAATTTTTTCTCCAGAATGACAATTAATTTGAAACGGAGGGAGTATGTTACAAGCTTTTTTTTAATGACAAAAGGACCAAAAGCCCTTTCAAGTCACAAGATCAAATGTTGTGTAACAGAAGTCTCACATGTGGATTGCACGAGCACCAAACCAATGGAATAGGTGGGACTCAATATCTCAATGAAAGATTGGTAGTAACAGTATTAGTTTAAACAGCCTTTGATTCTCTTCAGCAGTCTGCGCTCATAAGCCCTAGCAGATACAGCAAAAACAACACAAAAGAAGGCTTCAAATTTCCAAACCCCCTTCATACATTTGAAAAGACATTGGATAGCTAAGAAAATTACCAATCAAATGAGAAATTACTAACATTCCCTGCAAAATTCTAACAAGATAAGCACTATATCTATCTGGACTGCCTCATATGCATCCACTAGAACTTACAATACTGTCGTGGCTTCGTGAATGATGGTCAAAAAGATTCCAAGTTTTCCTTGAGATACACAAGGACTAATACACATAAAGGGAAACAATCGAACATTTTTTCCGTTACACTCTTTGCATGAGAAGGTTTGAATGATGACGCTTATCATTGCCTGTGAGAGACGCCAGATGCTGCAAGTCAGCGGACAGCATCTCCAACGTCATTTTTGGGTCCCACATCAGTACTCTGACAAAGAGCATCCTTACCTTGTCTGGCGGTTTACCACTTTCACTGCCAGCAAGATCACTTTCGAAGAACTTTCCCAGGCAGTTCATTGGCATCATTATTTTTACGTCTGGTTTCTTTTACCTACAACAGGCTGTAAGATAGCATGTGATCTCGATGATTCCTCATTTGCTCCAGTTGACCCTGTGCTCCTTTCAGCGTTTCCTTTCTCGATAAGTTCCTGTACAATTTGTACATCTGAAAATTTCATACTCTTGCAGCCCAACAATGCAAACTTGTTGTCTACCATCTTCTCGACAGTAACTAAAGGATTTAAACAACTCAAAACATGCATTGGTAATAGTGGACAACAGTGAGAGTATGGAATATAATCACGCGCTGTAACGGCAACGAATTGACAACTTTCAAATAGATAATCCCTTTCGTTAAGAACTGGCAAATTGAAGCGGTATTTACACACAGAACCTTTTCTGATGACAACAAGACCAAAGCTACCACATCTCGCTCAACCTTTCAACTAACAAGAGCAAAATTTGTGTAACAGAAGTCTCGCAGAATTTGTGTAACAGAAGTCTCGCAGATGGATTGCCTGAGCACAAAGTCAATGGATAACATGGAACTCAACATGACAATGTAAGATTCGCAGTAACAGTTTAACAACAGAAACTTTTGATTTGAGGACACACCCAAAAAGCCGTCATGGTGCCAAAAAGAGTTACCAGCAACATTGACTTTCCGAAACAGCTTACAATAGCTGTATTTACATGGTTGGGCAACATCAACGTTTAGCAGATAATTAGGACCTACAAAACTCCCTTTAAAAGCCTTGAATTACGGCTAACCCAGAGGGTTATGGGTGTCTTAAGGTCAATAACTAGATTGCAGCATACTTTTTAACAAGCTTTATGAAAAAATCAAGAGTAGACATGAACAGAAGGCCATACAAAGGTTCTGGAAAGAGAATAAAACCACAACTAAGCTTAAATTAGACAACGGACGAGCAAGTGTTCTGGCTATTTAAAGAAAACAGGGGCCTCCCTCCAACAATTTCTTCTTAAAGTTTTCAACCCAAGGGGAACACCAAGGTTTCCTGCTCAAAACAAAAGCCACATCACCATCAGCAATCCACAAACAGGGTTTACAGCAAATCGAATAAGCAAGCAAAAAGCAGATAGATTAGTACCTTTTCAACTCACACTCTTGACTCTAGGATGTTCTGGTAGGAAGTGAATTGAAACCAGAAGTGTTATCATTATTGTCAATACTGCATTTCCTGAGGGGAATAATAACTAAGTAGCTTCTTGAACAGGGGAACAAGTGCGACCACAGCAAGTTGGAGCTGCTCAGAGCTGTTTACCCGGATGCTTACTTGCCCTGCCCCTCTGTTGTTCAGATTAGCACGAGCTATCAGATTAGAGGAACGACCTATGGGCACTTGGGACTGTATATTCCCTCCGATAGCAAGATCCCCATGCCAATCCATCACAGAAAGTCCAAGAGTAGATAAGAACCTACCAAGCGGATAATCTTTATCTCTCAACTGAGCTTCTAAACTACCCCCATAAGCAACATCACCTCGACTCGTCATTGCCCCACCACACATAACCATTCTGAACCATTTATTAGCAATCAACTTATCTTCTACTTTCAGCCCCGCAGACACTGAATCACCCAAGAGCGTTACAGAGAGACCAGCTGCAGCTTTGTGTTTCCTAAAGTTGTTAAATCTCATGTCACTTCGAACAGTGTAAGCCAATTCTTTTCCAGCATTTTGCATCTCAAAACCAAGGGAGGTTGATCTACCTTCTCCATGTTTAATCGAACTGGCCATTTCCACCTGCACATTTGCATCCTTCTTGTCCTTTGTCACTTGGCCCGAGAAAGATATCGGTATCTTTTCTTTCACAACAAAAAGACGTTCTGCATTTACACCTTCATACCCAACATCATGATCCCACCCCTGAGTTTCAAGAACTGGCCTAACAAGCCACTGGTTGGAGGAATCAAGGGACCGGTATCTGTGAGTAGGATTGTCAGAGTCGAACGATGCAGGCAGAGATAAATCTGGCATGGGAACTGGAACGGAAGCAGGTTCACTTCTCTCCTCTTCCACATTTTCACTATGCTCGTTAGCCATATCTTTAATCTCGGCAGCAAACTTCTTAAACATCTTACGTCTCTTTCTTTCCTCTTTCATCTGCCTCTTCATAAATAGTTTCTCTCGGTACTCCATCTCATCAAGATATTCCTTCTTCTGAGATTTGCTAAGCTTAGCCATCTCAGCTTTAGTCAATCGCTTAAAAGGAGGAAGCTGATCGTACTCTGATTCTTCGTCAGAACCTGATGATTCGTCCAAATCATCTTCATCTTCTTCATCACCATACTGCTCATCAGGAAGTTTAGCTTGCGGTCTTGATTGCAGAAACGATGAGAGAAGAAGCGGCAGTGGTGGAGCCTTGGATCGAGCTACAAATGGTTTGCCTGGATTGTTATTATCTTGTAATTTCAGAAGAGCATTTGCTTCTGCTAGAATCTTGGACGCAAATGAGAGTAATAGCAAATGAGGCTTCCACACTTGGCCATTCGGCAATACTCTCTGACCTGCCCGATTTGTCCTGCAAGCAGAGTGGTTCTCAACTAAAGAAACANGCTACAAATGGTTTGCCTGGATTGTTATTATCTTGTAATTTCAGAAGAGCATTTGCTTCTGCTAGAATCTTGGACGCAAATGAGAGTAATAGCAAATGAGGCTTCCACACTTGGCCATTCGGCAATACTCTCTGACCTGCCCGATTTGTCCTGCAAGCAGAGTGGTTCTCAACTAAAGAAACAGGATTCATGAGCCTCATATCTCCAGCTGCTTGTCGAATGGCTTGCTGAATGACATGGGAACGTTGTGTTACAAACATCTCATAGCTAGAAGCAGTGCCATTTGGGCCATCTGGTGGAGCAGAAGCGGCATGAGTCAAACCCACAATGGCATTAAACCAGATCGATGGTCCAAAAACATCGGTGATGGTGCGCAAAAGAAGCATGTCACCAGAATCTCTGCTTTGCATATCCAACCTATCAAGATACAATACAATATCCGGTTGATTTTTCTTGATGAAAGCCCTAACAGACTTCAGTATTTTCTCATTCTTGTGTTGGTCAGACCATGATGGTAAGAGACCTGGAGTGTCAACCACCCGAACCTTAATTCCCTGAACAAAACCCTCAACTTCCTGAACCTTCTTTGTACCCATCTGGAATGCATCAGTACAAATTTTCGCTTCATCAAAAATAGAATTGATCGTTGCACTCTTACCAACTCCACTTTTACCGAGCACCATAATCGTACAAGAAAAATCAAGTGGATCCTGGCCAGCTGCCTCAAGTTGTTCCGCCATGGAACTGGCACGATCAAAGCTAAAGGCACCAACACGGCTTCCGTTTCTCCCCCTCAACTGCTCAGCCAATCCAAGCCTATACAAAACCTGAGCAACAACAACATTATGTGGAGTTTGCCCTAATCTATGTGAAAGCCTCAAAAACTTAACCCTGATCAACTGGAGCTTCTCACGGGTTTCATCATGCTCATCGGTCTCCGCAGTGGTAGGGTCCTCTGCTTGCTGAGACTGATTGTGAGACGCATTGCCATTAACACGAGGCTGATGAGGAACACGTGGTGTGGATTCCAAAAGAGGAGCATCACGCCCAAGGCCTGCTGGGCGAGCAGGAGGTAACGTTGCACTATTACTTGTAGACTCTACAGGCGAAACAGTGCTTACTACCTCAGATTTTCTTTCCAAATGTGGGCTCTCCTTAATCTCTGGACTGATATTCACTCTACTGCCTTGCTGCTTCTCAAATTCCTTAATAGTTTGCGAAGTATGTTCAACACCAAGTCTTCCATTACTGTCTTGAACTGTATCATGTTCTATACTGATGTCACCTTCAGTCTCTACCTTTTCCGCAGAACTAGATTTCTCTAATGGAGACGAGGTCGCAGTACAAGCTACTTTAATACTATCATTCAAGGATCTGTCACCTGAAGCACGTTTAACAGTGTTGTAGTCAACACCAGTCTCGCCATTTCTTTGTGCCCCAGACTCATTCTCAAAACAATCCTTATTTGTTTCTTCACGTTTCCCAGCCTCTTGTTCTGTTCCCATGCCAGCTGATACATCAACATTTCCATCTATGGTTTCCTCTTCAATACCATCATTCCTTGTTTCCTCGATTACTTCAGCCACCAGTTGTTTCTTCTCAGGAGAAACGATTCCATTCTCAGAGAAAGAACGTGTAGGTGTCTCGCTGACATTCTCTGTATCTGCTTCCTCCTCATCAACATTGATTTTGGAAGTCACAGGGCCTGGTACAGCCTCTCCCGTGGTTGTATGTAGCAGGTTTGCCTCACCATGGCTCTCTCCACTAACCTTGGAAACTTTCCCTTCCTCTGAAGGTAAACCCTCGTGCAACCCACCATCGACTTGGAAAGATTCAGGGTTTGAACTGTCAATAGCTTCCACAAAGACATCATCATCGGTATCCCTCGCATCAACATCAGAAACTAGCAATATATTGTTCTCTACTTGTTCATCGCTGATTCTATCGTCTGGAAGCTTCTTTTCTTCCGTATCTGACCTGCTAACAACCATATGCAAAACGAAATCACGAATCATTGTACCAACCAAACAAAAAAGACTTAACCTGTTATATAAATTCCAAAACTCTAACAATAAAATAGAGCAGAAACAAAACCCTAGCTCAGGATTATCGCCACAAATTCTAGAATACTCATCTCTTTTCAATGATATACATGAGAAGAAGAAGAAGAAGAAATCATTGAAAATAAACCCTAAAAGCTTACACAGAAGAGATGAGAACAGCTTACTTCTCAGGAGAGACGATTCCATTTTCAGAAAAAGAACTTGTATCTCTCTCGCTGACATTCTCTACACTTGATTCCCCTTCATCACCATTCACTTTGAAAGTCACAAAACCTGGTGCAGCCTCTCCCTCAGTTACATGTTGCAGGTTCGCCTCACCATGGCTCTCTCCATTAACCTTGGAATCTTTCACTTTCTCTGAAGGTAAATCCTCGTGCAACACACCATCGTCATGGAAAGATTCAGGCTTTGAACTGTCAATAGCTTCCTCAAAGACCTCATCATCGGTATCCCTCTTATCAACATCAGAAACCACCAATTCTTTGTTCGCTACTTGCTCGATTCTATCGTCAGCAAGCTTCTTCTCTTCCATATCTAACCTGTTCACAACCATTGCACCAACCAAACAGAAAAAGGCTTAATTTTTAATATAAAAATTCCAACAACCCTAACAATAAAAATAGAGCAAAAACAAAACCCTAGCTCATGATTATCGCCACAAACTTAATAGTTCCATAAAGATCTGAACTGTTCACAATCATAAACAAAACGAAATCACGAATCACTACACCAACAAAACAATCAAAATCGCCGCGAACTCTAGAATACTCGTCTCTTTTCAAATCGTACGCATATTTGATCATAAAATTTAATAAAAATAGAAGGGGAAATAATCGAAAATGAAAACCCCTAAAAGCTTACACAAGAGAGAGGAGAATAGCAATGGCGGAAAGTGATTTACCTAGATCTGAGAAAAATCTTTTCATACGCCTTTTACTTGCCTGCGACAGTGCGACTACGACGGGAAGGTGGAGGAGATAAGAGCGATCAATGAACGGTGGATATCCGTTTGGGTTTAAGCATCGAACGGTGGAGATCGACTCTTGTTTTTGCGAAAGGCATGTCACGTGACCAAACCTGAGGTGGGCCAAGGCCTTTTAGTTGGGCTTTTCGCGTTCAAAACACGAGCGATTTTTATTTTTGGAGCTATTCATCTGCTTTCCTTCCTATTGTTTGTCACTACACGACCATACAGTAGCAAATTTCCCATTTTATTATATTAGCAAATTCGATTTAAATCTGATATTTTTTTTATTACTTTCCTTACAAAATTGGTTATAAACTTATACTTACATAGTAAATGGTTAACTATATAGTCTATATTCTTCTTTTGCAGTTGATTGGGGGAAGTAGAGTTTTGATTCACATTTCATTGTACAGTAAACACAAATTGTATTAACTTTATGATAAGAAGAAAATGAAATATATATATATTACCAAATTCACAAACACAATGGACATTTTTTTCTTTTCTTCATCCCAAGCAACTTTCACACTTGACAACATCACACACAATCGTTTTTGGGTTTAATTTCATGTACCAACTACCGAGGAGGAACTCTCTTACGGTTAAGTATTTCTTGCTCCTTGAGACGGTGTTGGAACCGAGCAAGCCTGGCTTGGAGACTCACAAGCCCCGCTGCTTTCCTCGACAAGACAAAGCTCAGTTGCGTTACATAGTTTTCTACCATGCTTCCTGGTTTGTCCACCTCCGCTAGAAGCTTCATTTCCTGTTTAAGATTATGACAAAAAAAAACAGAAAATTAACCAAACGAATAATGATCTACAAACGCATAGTCATTTGATTATGTTTACTTACCTCGCGAACAATCTCCATTGTATCCTCAATTTCTTTTCTATGTGCTGTAATCAGCGCTTCCTCTTCCTGAAAAAGTCATGCGGTATAAGTTTCTACCATTGCTTGCAAGCTAATCTCACAGGTTCATCTCATGTTGTTTAAGTGAGTATTTTACCTCAAGCAGTGCATCAATGTTTTCATCAAGCGAAGTGTCGGTTTCATATTGTCTTGAAACAGTTTCACCTGTGTTCTGCCTAAAGTTTGTAAAGGTAGGGATATCTGACGACCTGACGTCTCTTTCAGACAAGTTTTGTGGTCTGTCTGATTTTTCTTCCCGCAACCCTTTCCCACGAGTTGGAGACACTTTCTTCACTTTCTCTTCACGGTCTGAAGTTTCTTGGGGATATGAAGACAAGTTTTGTGGTCTGTCTGGTTTTTCTTCCCGCAGCCCTTTCCCACGAGGTGGTGACACTTTCTTGGCTTTCTCTTCACGGTCTGAAGAAGTTTCTTTGGCATATGAAGACAAGTTTTGTGGTCTATCTGGTTTTTCTTCGCGCAGCCCTTTCTCACGAGGTGGAGACACTTTCTTGGCTTTCTCTTCACGGTCTGAAGTTTCTTGAGGATATGAAGATAAGTGGTTCCTCTGACTATTGGAGCCACCAAAAGAATTGTTCGTCGCCGATCTACTCTTGTCCATTGAGATTGATGGGATTCCACTTTCCTCTCGATTATTTGTAGGCTGTCTAAAGTCAATACCTGAAGCAGTGTAGTTATCCTTCTCGACCCTCCTCCCTGTTTCCTGAACACTCACTACCTGTGGTGGCGCAAAGACATCTTCTACATCATTTGAGCCCATCAAAGAATTCTTATTAACAGGAGGCATTGAGTTTGCAGATAGATCTTTCTTGCTATTTCCACTTTTAGATAGACTTTTGACCCTGTTGATTTGGTATATAATAAAGAGGTTAAGAGAAGCTGAAACAGATAATTAATTTCAGGAGAGGCTATAGTTTCTATAAAAAATACCGATCAGCATATCTTAGTGTATTGAGGGTATGTTCACACGATCCTACACTCGGGGAGATGCAAGAGATCATCACCGTCCTTGAGTTTCCAACAAATGAGTCACGGAGCACTTCAGTTAGTTTGCTTCCACGGAATGGTATATGTAGCTGGTCATTGTCCAGTGCACGTATACATTCCTTAAGAGCCAAGAGACTCTTATTGATTTCTGCGCCTTCAAACCTATGCGAAATCCACAGTGAAAACAAAAACATTAGAATAGAAGATTGGTGGTCCAAAAGTAGCGAGATAGTGCCACACCATCAATACCCACAAGTCCAAAAGAGACATAGAAATTAATCTACGCATTAGTGGTAGGTCAGTACCCAACCACAGGGGTAAAGAGCAACCTCACCTTGTCTGGCGGTCATTGTCTGTGGTGTCTGCACCTCTTTCACTGCCAGCAAGATCAATGAAAGAAATCTTCCCAACAACTTTCCCAGGCAATTCTTTGGCATCATTAACTTTACGTCTGGTTTCTTTTACCTCAACGTGCTTCTTTACAACAAGCTGTAAGATAGCATGTGATCTAGAAGATTCCTCATTTGCTCCAGTTGACCCTGTGCTCCTTTCAGCATTTCCTTTCTCGATGAGTTCCTTTACAATTTGAACATCTGAAACTTCAAACTCTTGCAGCCCAACGATGCAAACTTGTTGTCTACCATCTTCTCGCATCAAAAGCTTCCTACTCGGCGATAATTAAATAATTTAGACAACTCATAACATGCATAGGTAATAATTTAATGCCACCTTTTTGGGGGTCAGATAATTTAGTGAAATCAAAATAACAATCACTAGATAGAATATGCCTCATCAATGTATATGCCAAAAGAAAAAGAAAAGAATACTAACTTTCTCTCACTGAGAAGATCGAACAGCTTTCCACCATATATCTCAAAATAGCTGAGCCACAATTTAAACTTCTGGTTTCTATATACTGGTTGACGCAACAACATCATTAGATCTTCAACAGCTCGTATGGGTAGTGGTTTCATTGTGTATGTCTTACCGCTACCTTAATAAAGTAAAAGATCATCAGGGCAATGAAAACATGAAGAAGATATTATCATATAATATTTTCGAATCAACATTAATGCCACTGCACACCTGTTTGACCATATGCAAAACATGTAGCTTTAGTTCTCTGGAAAATAATGGGAATTATCGGCTCAATTGTGGCCCGATACACCTGTTCAAAGGAATAACAAACAACTTCTAAGTATCCATGCATCAAAACTCAATCTGGACTGAAAAAGTGGGGGAAACCGCATGCTGATCTAAATTACTGGTCAATAATGTATATCGATCTTAACAAAAATCTATGACAGCCCAATCATTACCTCGTCATTTGAAACATCCTCATCTAAAACAGCATCAAAGCAGAAGTCATGATTTTCCACATAAGCAGTCAAATCCACCTGCGCCAACAAGATTATGTTTCGTTCAATATCAGACAAGAAAATATTAAATCAAGAGAATATGTAACCTTTAATAGCAGGATGCCATCGTTCAGTTGTTCAACTAAATCATGGATGCCATTTTTATCTTCAATGAAGAATACACACAAACCTTCAGCTTGGGCTCATGGACAGTCAAAGAATTATCAGATACCGTCACGACATCCTCCTCCTTTTTAGCTGTTTCTTTCTTATTAAGAGGTCTTTTCCTTACCTAAAAAGTAAAGACACCAAAAATAACGGCTTCCTCAATGATCTCTAGTCATAGAACGTTACTTATAAAACAAGCAAAGTAGTAAAGAAACAGGTCAGTGGTCAAGTGAATGCCTTACCACTACTTTAATCTTGGCTACACTGTTATTCTCTTTTTCACTCTTAGGCAATGGGCCAAAAGTTTCAGCATCTGTTTGTTGCTGTTGTTGAAGATTAGTTGGCAAACTAAAATCTTCGTCAAATTCTTTATCCAAGCTAGGCATGAAGGGTGACGGCTCAAAGGGTTCAGTAATCACATGCTATAAGAAGAAAGGAAAATGACATATTACAATGAATTAGTAACTTTCACATAGATAATCTCTTTCTTTAAGAACTAGCAAATTCAAGGGGCATTTACACACAGAATGTTCTCTAACCAAAGCTAACACATCTCGCTCAATCCTTTCAAGTAACAAGAGAAAATGTTGTGCGACAGAAGTCTCGCAGATGGATTGCATGAGCATCAAGCCAAAGAATTAGGTGGGACTCAATATGAAAATGTAAGATTGGCAGTATGAGAATAAGTAACATAATCTGATGATGCAGATTTGTTATCTTTCTATTATCTACAGGCACTAATGGGCTTAACCATGAAAAACATCTGTACTAGTTGCTCTTCCAACCGTACCTCAGATAACAGCTCTGTGTCATCCATAGCATGAAGATCCATTAAACCAGCTCCAAAATCACCTCTGAACTCGGGTGAAAAGAATCCTTCGGAAGAAGGCATAGCTGCAGTTGGTGTATATGATTCAGAAGACTCCCCATTAAGATTCAGATTTCGCATTAGTTTGAACAGCCTTTGATTCTCCTCAGCAGTCTGCGCTCCATAACCCTAGCAGATACAGCAAAAAGAACAAAAAGAAGCCTTCAAATTCCCCAACCCCGTTCATACAAAAAAAAACAAGAGCCAAGCACAAAAGTTTCAATATCAAAGAAATTTACCAAGCGAAAGAGAAAGTACTAACATCCCATAAACAAATTCTAACAAGATATGACCTTTGGACTGCGAAAAATGCATACAAGAGCATATACAATCTTGTCTACGAGAGAATTCACCGTCTAAATCAATTTCCTTGAAGGAAGAATAAGAGAATGTGTTCACACTCGCCCAATTTTGTCAAACACTGATTAATGATCATCGTGGAATAAAGGTTACAGACTCGCACAATTCAAATGGATAGTCAACAATATTCCATGAGATACATTATGACTAACATCCATAAAAGGGAAACAATCCTATATTCAACGAAGTAAAGCTCTAACAAAAACATTGTCTATTTCGCATGAAATACAAAAAAAAAAAAAAAGTGTCAACCTTTTTAACCATCTAGAAGATTAGAGTAAATCCGAAGGAATGCAAGTAAATGAAAGAGGGAAAGCAAAGAACCTGCATGAGAAGGTTAGGAAGATGACGCTGATCATTGCCTCCAGTGGGAGAGGCCAGATGCTGTAACCCAGCGGATTGGAGCCACCTTGCCATTACAGCATCTCCAGCGTCATTAGCGGGTCCCGAATCGTATAGAGCAGCCGCAGCATTGGTGTGCTGCTTCATCTGGCCGCGCTGCGATCTTCTTTGAGGAGCCAACTTGATAGATCTCTTATAACCAACTCTTCATTCATCATCCAAAAACAAAATCAGAAACCCTAATTTATTAATTTCTGATTTCAATCGTAAAGGAGACTCACATGACTCAACCGCAAAACATGAAACGCGAGAGAGCAAACTCGTTTACAAAATCTGAAATTGAACCAATAATTTGAATCAGAGGGAAGAAGATCGAATCAAATCCCACCACGAGGAGGCTACAGTACAAAAAGAAGAGAAACAAAAGATGGAAGTAATGATTACCAGATTGAACACGCAATCGATTGGATAAGAGAGAGATCTGCGATTTTTTTGAATTTTTTTTCCCCCAAATATACAATCAGATCCGATTCAGAATCAAAAGAAAACCCTAACAAGCGATGCTCATCACATCACGTTCCAGAGAGAGAGAGAGAGAGGGCTCTGTTTGTATTCCGTTTATGGCCGTAAGCGACGTTAGGCGGAGAGAGAGGCGTTGAAGAAACATTTTACAAACAACTTACGATAATAAAAATTAAATATAAGTCCTTTAACTTCAGATATATTCACCGATTTGTCCTGTTTTTTGTTAGTGTTACTATTTGGTACACATTATGTGAAACAAGTCGATCTTCTACGAAACGGCCTGACTGCGTTATTTGTTTTTGGATAATCAAAACACAGGAGTTCTCAGTTTAATCATATTCTACGATAGTGTTCTTTTTAGATCATAACAACGACATATAAACCATGGTAAATATTAGAAAACAATTCTTTAACTATAAGTATTTAACCAAATTGATAAGATATTAATGAAGGATATGTGTATTTAAAGATTTCAGCTACTCTATGATATTTAAGGATATTGGATTGGACCATATGTTGCACAAACGAGAGATGATGATTTGAATATATACATCCGAGGACAATGACATCATGAGTTTTCCTTCTACTTTTTTTTTGTTACTCGACATGAATGCCACAACTTTTTGTACATGATAATGATTTAATCTTATGTTCCCTATTATTAGCTATACTATTATACTATTTATTAGCTGACCCATTATTCAAGTCACTTGAGTTTTATTTCAAATTTTTGAAATGTTTAGACGTATGAATATGTGTGTGAAAAGCTATCATATACATGTGTGTGTATTGAATAGTATTACAAGAATATTCAAAAGTAGAGAGGTGGGGCAACAAAAGCTTGTGAGGTACTTTCTTTTTAATCAAAAAAGTTTTTGCTTTCGCCTAAAGCATTATAAAAGGAGTTTTATGCAACTTTTCATCATATTTTATGGTTAACTAGCTAGTTACCAAGTGAGCTAAATAGTAAGAGTTTTTAGGCCACCCGTATTGAGGGTTTTAATGGAGTTCATAGAGAGAATATGCACGTTTACCGAGAGAACTCATCTCCTCTCACCTCTTCTATATGAATCGGGTTCACTGGCGTCATGATGATGTCATGGGGGCACCACGACACGTGGCGGCTCCCCATTGATCCATTCTTTTTTTTGAAAAAGTAAACGAAAAAGATTTTAAAAAAAATTAAAAATAAAAATTAAAAAAAAACAGGTGGCGAACCAACCTCGGTATCACTGATGCAAGTGCTCTTAGTTAGCTAAAACGAATGGAAATAATAAAACATTAAGGGAGATAATGACTTTGAATTATATTAGAGAGACAAGACAAGAGAGTTGGAGCAACGTCAAACCGACCAAATCACGTTTCCTTTTACTTGAAACACAAGACGCACCAACACATTTTGGTTGCATTCTCCTCTCCACACATCTAACATAAATTTGTATACAAATATGTCTTGTTGAGCAGTTCACACAGCTTATAAACTTGATTTTTTTCTATACAGTTAAAGATATGTAAAATAGCCAACGTTGCCTTAATTTACGGCTTTCTAGTCGAAATAGTTAAGCGCCAATGTCTTATGCATAAAAAAATTGGAGCACAATTGCACATATGTCTTATACATATATGTGATTTGTTTCACAGCTAATTCGTAAACCAAGATGGCAGAACAGAAAGATTCTTCCACACGTGTGATGAATTCAGGTGTGAATGGTGACCAAGGGAATGAAGAGGAACACTACATTACTTAACATTCCTTAAAAAATTTACCATTCATGAGGAATAGATTTTTTTCTCATTCCTCCTCATTCATTTGGTTGTAGAGAATTATAGAATAAATTCATTCCTTATTGATTTTGATAAGAAATCATTATTCATCTTCCTTCCTAAAATTTTATTTCTATTCATTCATTATCTGTCCATTCATGCTGTTCCTATTATGGTTTACCACTTTTCTTTTACTTTAAAAAAAGAAAATTGCTATAGAAGTAATTTCTTTGCAGCATAACCCAAATTAATTATTAGAGATCTTAATCCAAGATTGTTTGAATCCTTGCCTCGAATTTCGGGATAAGTTTAGTAAACACAAGGAGATTAACTTAGATAGAAAACAATGAAAAAAGGTAAAACGACCAAAAATTCAATTAATATTAAATGATAACCGTTGTTTTCGGATTAAATAAAAAAAACATAGAGTTGACAACAACAAAAATTGTTGACAAAAAAAATAAAATAAAGAAACATATATAGTCACTGCGACCGAACACATTAGAGCATCATTATCGCGGTCTCTACCGCATGTATCTTAGTATTTTTGTGATTAAAAAAAAATGAAAAATACAAAACACGGAAAACACGTCTCTTAATCTGGCTCCCAGAAGGCACGTATCTTATGGGACACCTGTCGAGTGGGTGAAGAAGAGGGACGCACAGTGTTCTTGAATGGCCGATTCCGACTACGCTTTCCGATTGCAGATGGAGGAGGCTCTCGCGGCTTCCCTCTCTTCCCGATCTCGTGCTCCACCGTAGCCTCCCGTCGTTGAGTGACGTTGATGCCGAAGCGTACGTCTCTGATCCCCAATTTCTCTTTTCCAATCCTCGATATGGCTTCTCCTTGCTTCTTTCTCTGTTGCTGGATTGGTTCAGCACCTTTTCCAATCCTCTCTGGTCTTTATTCAAATATATTTTTTAGTTTCTTAAAAGCAATGAATTGATTGCTCAGATTGAGTTTTGCTCTAATGATGATCAAAGTTCAGAGCTTTGAGACTCATTCAGTTTAAAGTTGATCTTTTTATCTTGTTGACCAGTTTATACGTTGAGTTGTTTTTGGGTATAACTGATTTGCTATTGTTGATGTTCTTTTCAGCCTCATTCTCCTGACAACCGGGCTCTAGCAAGAGAATGCAAAGATGTGAAATTGATAGAGTATACGTTGGTTCTTGTACTGGTGGGAAGACTGAGGATTTTATGGCTGCAGCTAAACTTTTGCATGCGGCAGTAAGTTCTACTTGTTTTTCTGTGTCTTACTGGATATACTTACAAAACAATCTGTTAATTTAGGTTCTTAATCTTAAGCAAAGACATCATTATTACTTGTTCAACACATGAGCAATAGTTTTCTTAATTCTATAGAAACCAATGTTCCGTATGAGACAGTGTTGCTGTTTATTATTCTGTCTTGCAGGTTCTATGTTCTTGAGGAGTTTGATGAAGGAAAGAGAAGTTTCCGTAGACGTTTGGCTGGGCATAATGAACCTGAGATTTCTTCCTGACTGCGTAAAGTTTTGTTTCTTTATGCAACTTGGTTGAGCTGAGGACCAGAGCTGGAGATATGGCAGTGTTGTTCTGTAGAAAAGCAGTTTGCTACGGACAAACAAGAATAACTGAGGTCCTGCACTTTGTGGCTCTACAATCAACACCAAAACCTCAACCGAAGGTAATATATCCTATTAAGATTCCATGAACATCTATTCATGCATCATTACTTTTCATTGTACAATCAATAGTGAAAGTGTTTATGGACTTCTCTTAGACTGGTTGTTGCCAAGTAAGATGTTGATGGTCAGTAGATTTTTCTGATGTGCAGATTGGATCAGACTAGTATTATCTTTGATGGGTTCTCGTCAGGCAGAGGAAACAGAGATAAGTGTTGTTGCGGTCGAGGTGTACGAGAGGATCGACGGTGCGAAGCAGAGGATGGACATGAGTAACAACAACTATGATCTCTAATAACAAACTTGTGTTGAGTATGCTTTACATATTTTTTTTAAGAACCATAATTAAGAGACTTGCAATAAACCATCTAAATGTTCAAATCTTTTTTTAAATCTCTTAATTCACTTTTACACTATAAAAACTATTAAAAAATAATTAAGAGACCCTTTAAGAGGTTTAGGGATAATGATGCTCTTAGCCCAACGATAGCTTCTCACTCAGCACTTGACTTCCTTCAAACCATGTGCGAAGTACAAAAATGTTGGGTTAGTTTTACCCTCCTTGTAGTATGCAAAGACCAAAGTGCTGTCATCATGCATCCCCTCCCCAACAAAGCTGTACATTGTATCAAAACATATCATTAATTGTCATCATGTTTTTTACCAAAAAAAAAAAGTTGTCATCATGTAAGGAAAAAGAGAGGTTGGGGACAAAGAACAAAACTCACAATTGGAAGTCATTGAGTTTGGGGAGCAAGAACTTGGTAGCTCCCTCAATACCCTTCTTGAAGGCAGCTTGGTCTTCCTCGTTGAGCTTTGGTGTCAAAAGCTTGATGTACTTTTTAATATAGGCAATGAATCCCTTTTTATCGTAAGTCGGCTGCTCCTGAAGTCTGAAGGTGTCGACAATGTCAACAACCTTTTGAGTCGTGTCATCAACACCCTCGTCTTCACCACCTTCTTCAGCAGAGGGATTGGCACCAATGTTCACATCAACAGCTCCCAAGGTAGTCCACTGGACATTAAAAATATAAATAAACAAACATCAGAAAAAAAAAACAAATCGCAACTTTGGGATGTAATAGAGTTAAAGGGTTTTTAATAGACACAACAGACCTTTCCTTCAACTTCCCAAAGAATACCGTTCTCAATCTCCTTGTAAGGAAAAGAGTCAGACAGAAGCTCATCACCTGAAATAATTAATTAATAAAATAAAATTCTTTAGTAATTATGCATATTGAAAAAACAAGACTTGTCAAGATAATCGTAATAATTATCAAAACAATGAAATAAAACCCCTACTGAAGAAACGATAAATTCAAAAAACTTTGCTTATCGCTAATAGAATCAATGCGGAGAGGTGCAAATTTGACGATTTTTTTTTGAAAAAGAGCATAATTTAACGAAAAATCATAAGAAACGCAATCACATTAACGAGATACCAATTCCATGCAGAGAATCATAGATATAAGCAAACTATAGAAACGATAAATTCAAAAAAAACTGTGCTTATCGCTAATAGAATCGATGCGGAGAGGTGCAAATTTGACGAAAAATCATAAGAAGCGATCACATAACTAACGAGATACCACAAATTCCATGCAGAAAAAAAGTCGAAATTAAATCAATGATTCGCACGAGAGAATGATAGAAAAGATAACGCAATTGAAAACGAGAGTAACGAATGAATGAGCTTACCGGTTAGAAGATCTTGGTACACCAACATCGTCGCTTATTGTTTTTTATTTTTTTAAATCGCTTTCTCTCCGAATAAAAGAATATCAGACGCAGGTATGAGGAGATTAAAACGAGGACATAAAGTTTGTTATTTATAGACGGGAGTTTCCGATTGACAACAGGAAATTAAAAAAAAAATAGTAAATTATCAATTTAGGTCTTTTCCTTTTTTAAAAGAAATATGGAAAATATATTAACCGTCTGAAAGTTATACGGGTCTGGTTTGGGTGGGGGATCCGAGAGTTTGGGTTACGTATATAGAAAAGATCCGGTTTTTATTCGGGTCGGATAGTTTCTCTCCCTAAAGATGGAGTTATATGCTCATTGTTATCATGTTATGAAAATTTTATTTGGTTTTTTTATATTTGTTTGTATCTCGTACGTCCTTGTGTTTCATACTATGTAAGACGTTGAATTTGCTTATATCGTAAGCAGTCTTTTTGGTCGGGATTTTAGCTACCAAAAGGCAATGGTGCTTGCTCTCAGTAACCTGAAACTCTGGTTAAAGGTTCAACTCCTCCTGCTCTGTTGTCATTGTGAAGCTATATTTGTTGAGAATCCTTTTTAGAATTTCCATCCCTTTGGGATATTGATGATAAGACAAGACAAAAGGGTTGTACGAGGATATGATCTTCAAGGTCACATACCTGGCCATTAGCTACATAAGTTCTGTACAGACCCTTTTCAAAGGACATGTCATCTTGACAGTTAATTAAAAGTTTCCCATCTTGTAACATTGGAAACAACTTGATTTTTACTATACCAGAGAACAAGCAAGATACTAGGTTACGGTTAGTATTGTGAAGAAAGTTGATGAATGTATCATGTATGTATAGGTACAACAGAAGGTTTAGGACCTGCGAAGATTGGTCGTCAGAAGAGAACTGCTAGGTCACCAATCTCTCTGACGTTTACTTTAATGTTCGTTGGCGTGTAAAGCCATAGTTGAGCTAGTGTGTTGTGAATCTTCACATTTAAGATCAATTTCTCTTGCAGTGATGTATATTAATATTTTTTTAAATTACAAACATTGTCCTAAAAACACGCTCATAGGCGTGACAATTCATCTAAAATCACTTGCGGAAGATGAATTTCTGCTCAAGGAGCATTAATATCATAAAGAAACATTTTAAATCAATTAAAATATTTGGGTTTCCTGGTGCAAAGCGCTGATGACATTTGAGTACATGCGAAAGAGAGAAATGGATGTTAGCATTGGTAGTGTGGTATCATTATTCAACAGATGTGCAAGGTTGAAGATGCTTTGGTTTTATTTTGGTAGCCTTTTCTCCAGACTAATAAAGCCTAACGTTGTAACATATACTACAATGATATCGGGATTTAATAGACGAGTCTAATTCATGAACCTGATGCGTTGTTTAGGAAAATGAAAGAATTGCATGGGTTCTTTACCAAATGAAAAAGTAAATTACACCATTAACTGAAATTAGGGGTGTCAAAATGAGTCAAATGGGTCAGTCCAATCCAAAACCCAACCCAAAACCCAAATGGGTTGACTAGTAATGGGTCATAGGTCAATCCAATCCATTTAATAAATGAGTTGGGTTGACTCATTACCCATTAAATTAAATGGGTCATATGGGTTAATGGTTGACCCATCAACCCAACATTTTTGTCTAAACCCAAAATGGATCATTTTAAATGGGCTTTTTGCAGAACCCAATAAATAGAAATAGTGTTAAACATGATTTCAGGTGGCGGGAAAACATGATTTTGCGATTTTGGCGGGAAAAATATTGCGATTTTAGTGAGAAATGATTAAACGGTTTTGGCGGAAAAAATTTAACTAATTTGCGGAAAACATTTTGTGGTTTTGGTGGGAAAACGTGATTTCCCGTTTTGGCAGGAAAACGTAATTTGCGGTTTTGGCGGGAAAATGTGGTTTTGTGTTTTGGCGGGAAAACGTGGTTTTTTGGTTTTGGCAGGAAAATGTGATTTTGCGGTTTTGGCGGAAAAACATGATTTTGTGGTTTTGGCGAGAAAACGTGATGAGTGAGTCTAACTGGACAATTTTAATTTAGAGTTAATGGTTATTTTTAATTTTTGATTCTACTTAAAAACTAAATGGGTGAGGGTTGACCCAACCCAATAGATCCATTAACTTGTTAACCCATTAACTTGTTAACCCATTAACCTGTTAACCCATTAACCTATTAATCCATTAACCCATTGGGTCAAAAATAAACAGTTCATTTGAGTTAATGAGTCAATTTGGGTTGGGTCAACCAATGGGTCATGACCCATCTTGACACTCCTAGCTAAAACTCATGCGTTACTTATGGCGGAGCCACGTTAGTGGGGAGGGATTCACTTGACCCATATGAAATCTATAAAAACTTAACTTTTAGGCTTATTTCACAAAGCTATTGCTATGGTGTACTGGTTAAGCTACGTGCCTTTTTAGCTATAATAAATTGGTTTATGACCCTATAAAATCAAAGGCTAGCGCCTTCATGCTTTTGATCTCAAGCATATGATGGTACAGTTGCAATTTGGGGAGAGGGTACACACAGGTTAGGTATATATTTTTCACAAATGCATGTTGCATATGACTATGCAGAAACTGCAATTTGCTTCAGTGTCATTGTAAATTGTATGGTGTTGATGTTGCATATGACAAGCGCATGTTGATTTATGTACCGTGGATATAACTTAAATCTAACCTTTAGTATGATTGTAAAAATTTTCCAGGTGCAATAAAATCTTTTGACATATTTTTCTGCGCTGAAGACTTGTGTCTATGTTCTCTGCATTAAGGCCAGAGTTGTACATAGGGATGTTAATATGGATAATTACCTATGGGTTTACCCAAATCCATTGATAATGGGTTGTGTTTTTACCCTTCTAAAATTAATTGGGCTAAACATGGGTATGAATTTTTAAAATCCATATTAGATTGGGTAAATACAAGAGGGTAATAGGTACCCATGATTTTTAATTTTATAACATTATATTTTCACTATTTTAATATCTTTTGTTTTAATGTCTTTAATAAACCATAATTTTGTTTTTCCTGTTCAAACTAAAAAAATGAATTTATTCGTCAGAACTCTAAAATGAGTTTTTTCGCCAAAATCAGAAAATTTACTTTCCCCGCAAAATCGGAAAAACGATTTTTTTCTGCCAAAACTGCAAGACGTTTTTCCGCCAAAACCGAAACATGTTTTCCCGCAAAAACATGATTTCCCGCCAAAACCGGAAAACGTGTTTTCCCACCAAAACACGAAAAAGTTATTTTTCGCCAAAACCGCAAAAACGTGTTTTACACCAAAATCGGAAAAATGAGTTTTCTCGTCAAAACCGCAAAAACGTGTTTTTCCGCCAAAACCGTAAAAATGAGTTTTCCCGCCAAAACCGCAAAAACGCGATTTCCCGCAAAAACGTATTTTTCGCCAAATAAAAAAAAAACGTGTTTTCCCGCCAAAACTGCAAAAACGTGTTTTTCCGCCAAAACCAAAAACGTATTTTTCGTCAAAACCCCAAAAACGTGTATTCCCGCCAAAACCACGAAAATGAGTTTTCCCGCCAAAACTGCAAAAACGTGATTTCCCGCAAAAACGTGTTTTTCGCCAAAACCGCAAAAACGTGTTTTCCCGCCAAAACCGCAAAAATGAGTTTTCCCGCCAAAATGTTATTTCCCGCAAAAACGTGTTTTTCGCCAAAACCGCAAAAACGTATTTTCCCGCCAAAACCACAAAACATGTTTTCCCCCCCAAAACCGCAAAAAAAGTTATTTCCCGTAAAAACGTGTTTTCCCGCCAAAATCGCAAAAATGTGTTTTCCCGCCAAAATCAAAAACATGTTTTCCTGCCAATACGAGTTTTCCACAAAACCGTGTTTTTCGTAAAATGAGATTTCCACAAAAAAAAATTCCCAAAAAATCGAGTTTTTCCGACAAAATCAGAAATGCATTTTCTTGCCAAAACTGGAAAATGAGTTTTTGGCCGTACTGGAAAAACTAGTTTCTAGGAAAAAAAAGTTATGCATAATCTCTTTAGAACAAATAAAATAGTAGTTTGGGTAACCATGGATTAATCTATATTCTACTGGGTTATTTTTTTGAGTTTTAATTTAACCTTGATGTTTGTGGGTTTTCGCGGATTTGGTATAAGGTCGGGTTTTTTGTGGGTTGGGCTGGGCTGGGTTATTTTACCCATTTTAATATCCCTAGTTGTACATAGAAGTATTGAAGTCGAGAGCACTTTAATAAAGCTAATCAATGGGGGTGATTGGTTGGATTGTACATGTAGAAATTTTACTGTAGAATTTAGACTGTAGATTTTTTTGATGTAGTTGTATCTAATGTAGCTGTAGAAATTAAATGAGAAAAAATATAAAATAAAAGATATTCCTACAACAATCCTACAGCAATATTTTTTTGCTTTAGAAAATAAGGTACCTACAACCATTTTTAAAATTTTTTGACTTTAACTTTAAAAACTACTTAAAGCATGATTGGTGATTTAAATGGTTGTAGATAGAAATTAAAGCTAAAGTCACTACTTACAACCCAACCAATCACCCTCAATGTATAGATAGATACTGTTGAGCTAGTGCTTTATGAATCTAACTAGTCTTGTAAGGGGGTCAAGTTTTTGTGATGAAATCCTTTGACTTTACTAAATGAAAAGGACCAGAGGAAACTACTACTCTAGCAAAAGGAGATGAAGACAAAATAAACCAAATTAGCAGATTTAAACCAACCAAACCGGTTCAATCTCTGGAGTGGAGACAATAAAGGTAAAACCGTAAAAATAACAAAATCCTCCTAAAATCTCGTAAATATGCAGTTAATAATTTTTGATATAGAAGAAAATGCTAAACGATCTCATATTCACATATGACTATATGAGAATATCTCGTATAACTTTGTCTTTGGTGGATTACTTCTTTTTTTATTAATTGTTTTAATTATGTTCATTACATTGGTCCTACACATAAATCGAACTGAATACATTGGTCTGACCGAACGAGTTTCTACCAACAAAACGAGGAAAAAAACAAAAAGAAACCCAATCAGAGGAAGAGCTCTTGCGGCAGTGAGGTGGGGTAAAACTTCATTGCTGCACAATTGTATTTCTCTTGACTATACTTCTTTCTGACTGCAACTACATCGCCCGAAGGACTCTCATGACATAGCCGAAGAAGACTCTTAACACACGCTTCCAAATGTGTAGCCCTGTACCATGCGTAATGCTCTAACGTAGAGCTCCATGGTTTTCTCGAAGGGTGTAATACGTATTGTGCCAAGAAAACAGCAGAGGCAGCGACGAGTGATGGAGCGTAGCAAAGCATAGTGTAATCCAAGAGAGATAATTCGCAGAGATAACTCGCTACTGACTCAAACAAGAGGGATGGCACCACCTCTCCTTTGCCTTGTGCAGCACGGACAAATCGCCCTAGAAAACAATTTGCAGTTGGAGTCGTTAATTCGAACTTCAAGTAATCCAAAACACAAGCCTCCATCTCCAGAAGCTCGTCACTTGAGTAAGTGTTATGAGTGATGTAACAGAAACTCTCCACGTGAGGCACCCACCGTTGTTCATATTTTGCTGAAATCATCATGCATGAAACACCAAGCAACTGCAAGTTTTTCTTGGTGATTACGTTACCTGAAAGGTACCTGTCTAAACAGTTCACTGCAAGATACAAAGTCTCTGGCCAAAGCCGATACGTTTCGGCAACCTCCACGAGCCAGTCAATGAGGATAGCACGCATGCTAGGGTTGATGTTTGGTTGAACTCTCTCCATGTAATCAACAGCAGGTCTTTTATTTACCTCGGATAAATGCAAATACTCGTAGATATCGCACGCATAGGCACCACAAAGCTGTGGATCCTCCAAGTTAATACTATCAATGTCATCAACCTCATCATCATCTCCGAGAGGATTACAGAGTTTTAAGACGTCGTCGAGTGGGCGAGAAACTAGACTCTCCTTGGATTGATTCCTTGAGGGAGAAGTCAGTTTAGTCGTGGAAGACATTGTTGTTGACGAGGAAGTGGAAGATCTCTGATTCGTAAGCGTTAGGGTTTCTCTTCTGCTAGGGAAAGATCTTAAGCGAGTAAAGACGAGGAACAACGATGATATAAATATCAGTGAAAATATAATTTGGTGTTCATTATAAAAAAAAAGGAAAGAAAGGTCAAATACAAAAGGAAAATACTAAAAAATTATCTATTTAGCATTCAATAAAAAAAAGGAAAGAAGAGTAAGGGTAAAAAGGTCAAAATACAACATGCGCGTCAACTTTGGCGTCGTCTTCTTAAATATCCAAAACACATAAGCACTTTCCCACGAACCTCCCTCTCTCCCCATTACTCTTAAAAAAAAAACACTTTCTTCACTCTCTCTCTCTCTCATTCGCCACCATCTCATGAACTCCAACGACCAGTACCCAATGGGCAGACCCGACGAAACCACTTCACGAACCTACGCAATGAGCGGCAAGATCATGCTAAGCGCCATCGTAATCCTCTTCTTCGTCGTCATCCTTATGGTCTTCCTCCACCTCTACGCTCGCTGGTACCTCCTCCGCGCTCGCCGCCGCCATTTCCGCCGCCGTAACCGTAACCGTCGCGCCACCATGGTCTTCTTCGCCGCGGATCCTTCCCCCGCCGCCGCCACCGCCGTCGCCTCCCGCGGCCTCGATGCGGCGGTGATGAAGTCTCTCCCCGTCTTCGCCTTCTCCGAGTCGACTCATGGAGATCTGACCGAGTGCGCGGTTTGTCTCTCCGAGTTCGAGGAAGGCGAGTCGGGTAGGGTTTTGCCTAACTGCAAACATACGTTTCATGTTGAGTGTATTGATATGTGGTTTCATTCTCACTCCACGTGTCCTCTCTGCCGCTCTCTCGTCGAGGCGACTCCGGTTGAGGAGGAGCGAGTGGTGATCACGGTTTGTCCTGAACCGGTTTCTGCGATTGAACCGGGTTCGAGTTCTGGATTGAGGGATGAACCGGATGATTTAATGAGAAAACCGGCGGGGATTGAGGTGCCGAGGAGGAACTTGAGCGAGTTTGAAGACGATTTGAGTCACTCGTTTAGGTCGCCGATGAGTAGGATGTTGTCTTTCACTCGGATGTTGAGCAGAGGAAACGCTTCGTCGCCTATGGCCGGAGCTCCGCCTCAATCTCCGTCGTCTAACTGCCGGATAGTTACGACCGAGTCAGATATCGAGCGTGGAGGTGAAGAGATTAGGTGACGTGTGTGTTGCTTATTGGTTGAGAGTTAATGGAAAGTAAAGCTACAATTTAATTACATTGTTGTTAAAGTCAACAAGCCTTTGTCGACGGTTGATTTAAGCTCCTGTGACACGTGGCGTAATCTGAGAGACCAACGAATCTTATTCACCATGTGTTTTACTTGTGTTAGTTTATAGTAGATAGAATTGTCTGAAGATGTACATAAGTTGTGTCAGTCGTCGATGTTTAGATTGAATCTTCTTTCTATTTATTTTTCTTTATTCCTTCTTTTAGTTTAGGGGAATTAGGCCAAGTAACCATTAGAAACAAAAAAAAAAAAGAAAATAACCATAACAAGGCTTTAATTATGATATGATTGATTTTTTTTCTCTTTATTCCCCATTTTATCCTCAGCATGCGCGTGAAAACAAATTGTATCTTTCATTTTCTAAACTGTTGTTGTAATACATTATATTGGGTTACAAACTGAAAAAAACAAGAGAGATTGAGGAGGTGTCAAAACTTTGGTGATGGAAGGAAGCGGAAATCTGAGCTATATTCTTCAACCATGAAAAGAATAGTTTAAACTGTAATTGTAATACATTATATCTGGTCACAATCCAATTTTTTTATGAAGAACTAATTGAAGTAGTTTACGGTGGGGCTGGACACAACAGTGAAGGATGAAGAAGATGAAGTATAAGTCTATACTATATGAAAAAAATTAATAGTATAGTAACCGTTTACCGATTCCTCTCATTCTCCCACTCCCTCTCCCTCTCCTGCTCCCCC